TTATATACACCTGGAAATAGGAGAGGCCGTAAGGTTGCGCTATGGTTTGAGTCCTTAAGGATAGTAGGATGTAAATATATATATATATATATATATATATATATATATATATATATATATATATAAAAGTAGCCAAGTGGCGTCTTTCTCTACGTAAAGAGTGAAAAAGATAGTGTTTTCAAGGGTAAACCGTAGATGCATGTCGGAGTAAAAGGTTATTCCTAGCATGGTGTGAGCATGAATACGAGTGAGACACAATCCACGCATGTTGGAGTAGTAAGTCTATTGTAGAATGAAAATTAATATTGCCCCAACAAAACTTACATGAAGTAGTCATGTATAACTTTCATTGTTTATTTCTTAAACGATTCCATCAATTACTTGATTAATTAACAAATAATACCGAATTGAGGAATTGACGTGTGACAACAGCGTGAGCTAAATCAACAACGCACTCCAGTAGACAGACAGATAGTATAATCGGTATTCCCCCACTTTTAGTGCACGATTTCTCTTAAAAAGAGTAGGCGGTGCTTATCTGCACAGCAGGTTTATTTGGTTTTAAGCTGTGGTGGTTAACGGTTAACAACAAATAATTAATGGGCCAAAAGTTTATATCCGAGAAGAAAAGATTGCTATAAAGTGCAAACCACCCAAGAACTTTTTCTGGACGATCATTTAAACATTTGAAATTTTGTGAAACTATGATGAAGAAATCGAATGAGAACAAAAACTTTTTAAGAAATGTTTTGTTTTTCGATGAATCTTCATTTCTTCTTCTTCGCGTGCCATATCAGATTTATCCGACGTTGGCGATCACCATTGCGAAGGCTTCTCGATCTTCTGCAATATGAAATAATTGTTCTGCAATTGGTATCTGAGTCCATTCACGAATGTTTTTTAACAAAGAAACTTGTTGTCTTCCTACATCTCTACGGCCCTATATTTTGCCTTTAAGGAATAGTTGTAAAATTTTATATCGACTTCTCCTTACTATATGTCCCAGATAAGACATTTTTCGATGTTTAACAGTCTTCAGCAGTTCTCTGTCTTTGTTGCCCTCTCCTTAGTACTTCTTCATTAGTTTTTCTTGCTGTCCAAGGTATTTTCAGCATTCGTCTATGAACTCACATTTCCAATGCTTCAATTTTGTTCATGATCGATACTTTTAGCGTCCACACTTCTGCACTATACAAAAGTACAGACCAAACATAGCACTGAGATGGTTATTGCAAAGAAATGACTTCATTTTCATAAAAGTAATTTTAGTCATTGCTATTCTACGTTTTATTTCTATGTCTGGATCTAGTTGGTCCGTTGTCATAGTTCCCAAATATGTCATTTTGTGAACTTTCTCAACTTGGACTCCGTTCAATTGAAGCTTTGCAGCGGGAGGTGGGTCACGACTAAACACTAAAAATTTGGTTTTGTTTCAGTTTATTTTCATGCCCATTTCCTCTCCTACCTCGTGAATACATTGAATGAATCTTCATTTACAATCCATAAACACCATAACCCATCTGTCGTCCGCTATTGGTCTAAGGAAAATAAACATTTGAGTATTGCTGTGAAATCACAATATCCAAAGAAATTAAATGTGTGGGCTGGACTTTATAGCGATAATCTAATTGGTCCTACGAAAAATTTGAACGGACGTAAGTATATAGATTTATTGCGCAATCAGATTATTCCAGCAGTTTGCGGTCAACTTCACCGATGTCTGTTTTCAACAGGATGGTTGCCCAGCATGTGATGCAATCGAAGTTGCAAATTATTTGGAACAAATATTCCCTGGGCGATTAATTTCTACACGAGGAACAATAAAATGGTCCCCTAGAAGACCCGATTTAGTACCTTTGGACTTTTATTTCCGAGGGATGCTAAAATCAATATTATATCGGCATGAATTCGACCGAGCCACCAATTTAGCAGAATCGCAAGACAAAATTGATCAACTCTTGTCGGGTACAGCCAAATCCGCTGAATGCAATGAGACTTGTGTTTCGAACATTTAATTGGTTATAGATTTTTTTAAATGCTTTTAATTTAATTATCTAAAATACATTTTTTAGTTGGTTTTTTTCGTATAAAAAATATTTATGTTTTGTTAATGTTAAGTTAATTATTGTTTTATTTCCAAACTACCACAGATGCTAAAAATATACTATATTAGTATTGAAAACTCGAAAATAAGTGTTCGAGTTTTTCTTATGGTTTACCGACGAAATAATTATTTTATGCAAAAAACTGCACATTTCTCTTCAGTGTCTGGTTTACACTGAATTCCGGATGTATCTAGGCCGCCCACAGTGCGAAGGAAGACGTTGCTTAAAATTTTACTTACTAGTCAGGGGAATATGCATTGTTACCACACATCAATTCTATAAATCAATGTTCTTTGTTAACTAATTAAGTAATTAATCCATGGTTCCTTTTTTTAGGCTTTTTTGGGATAATATTAATTTTTATTCTACAGTGAACTGTAGTGGATTTAAATATTATTTTACAGTTATCTATATGACTAAATTTTTAGAAGGAAAGATGTAACAGAAATATAGCAACACTGTTTAAAAGTCAGACTTACTCCCTTGACATGATGAGTACCTCTCTCTTCTACTCAAACAAATTAAGTGTTATCTTTGTTCCACATACTGAATAATGAATACGGTAGTTAAAAAATTCCGTATCTGTATATACAGTATACATGGCAGCTAAGAAAAAGCTAACAATTATATGTAACACCATGATAAACGCAACCGAATACAAACCTGTCGCTCGTGGTACGACTTGCTTCCTACTCTATATCTCACGAACACTATTTTACGATCCTTTGACCACTGAATATGCCTCGAAAAGATGCACACATTTCACACGCTTTATCTTGGCTTTGAATGTATTATAGAACTAAAAAATATTGCATATTATGAACTATTTCAAATATTTTTTTAGCAGTTTGTAACTAACTTCTTAACAAGAATCGATTTTGGAATCGTTTCTCAAATATTTTTATTTTATTTGTGTACCGTTCTACTGGACGATTAAAGTGATTTAACACATTAATATTAATATTTTTATTAGAAGTTTAAGTGAGATAATTGTGTTTCTGGACCATGTGGAAGCATATAACTGCAACATTGTTAGTATTCGTGGAATTTATGATTTGAGATGATAATTGAGATGACTGTGGGTTCACTGTGACCATGCCAAGCGTCCAACTAATTAGTTAATATCTTCATAAAAGATAATTTAACAAAAAATTTTTATACTGTCATCATTCAGAACCGAAAACTAATTTACAAGAATAGATTGAGCAAATTTAAGAGTAATATTTTTTGGGAATTTTTCTCATTTACTCATTTTTGTACATTACTTTCGGTCCAAGGTTGTATTTTCCCGTTTAAAAATTTTATTACACTTAAAGGTCTTGTGTCATATACGTAAGCTTATCATGTCTAACTGTTCTCTACTTTCTTCAAAGGGAACTAACCACAATTTTAATTGAAAGAATTTTTATGTTGACGTTTAGATTTCCACTTCAGAAAAACTATTTCCGAAAAAACGAACAAAGACTGATTGCAGAGCAGCGCATACCTCTGTACATCTTTTTCTCACCCTTCTACGAGGCTCCTCTTCATCTTGCATTTGATTTAGTTTCCTTATCTAGTATTGTTATGTTGATATCAAATTTAATGATAGAGGTGTATGAATCTTTGCATACACTTCGTTGATTGTGTCAACTCACATTACTAGTAGTGAACAGTAATCCCGGTATATTCACTTTTTGAAATTACCATCTTGTTTGTTGGAGTCAAACTTAATGTTATTTCTTGATCGTGGGAATTCGGGATAAAGAAACGCTACTCATTTGATTGCAATGACCTGTTGATTCTTCTTTTGTTATTAGACCACCCACTTTATGAATTCTCTGGTAATTATTTTCCATTTTTTAACTTGAAACAACTTGACCAAATAATGCTACCTAAAGTTAAATATAAACATTTTATTACCGATTATTAAATCATACTATCAATGTATTGATATTCTATTTTTCCTCCATATTAGAAAGTACTCTGTTTGTTTACACAATTTTTTATATACTGATCTTTGCAAATTTTATAAAAGCTGACTTATTAAATAATAAACAGTATCAGTGCTTTTGGAATTGTGTTTGTCCTCTATGTTACCTCTAAAGTATTCTGCCTATTTACTCAATTTTTTATATTCTTTTGTTCTTTGCACTTTTTACATAAAAACTGACTTATTTCTGTTTTTTTTTCTTATAAAAAAATCTTTTTTATCTGCATATCTTTGTAAAATGAACTTATTCATATACGAAACGTCTTCTTTAATAAAGGATGAAGTAGCAAGTACCCTTTCTTTTATTCTCCAAGTTTTTGACCGACAACCCCAGTATTCTAGTGAACTACTAATATACACACATCTTGTATAAGGTGGGGTGAGTCCGAAGGTGCCAAGACTGGACTCTGTACTGTCGAATTTTGGGCTATACATTTTCTATTTCAATTCAGGTATTTATTGCGTAGGTTTCACGGACAGATGATAATGTATTTGTATAATTTCTAGTATTTATTCTTCGAACTGTTTTCGTTTGAAGAAGTTTTAGCAAACTCTCACTCGCATTGTCGATACTTTGGGCTTTGAAATAAAACTGAATGAAATTTTTGTCGTTAATAGCTTACAAGTTACTTCATAGCTCACATCAATATAATCAATAGCTCAAATGTTGCATGAAGGGGGAGGGTCTGAGGGACTAGAACCCGAGTCCGTTGAATTTGAAGGTTGTATATTTTCCTTTCTAATTCGGTTGTTAGATTTTTAGTAACTGAAAATTCATCTAGTTGTGGAGTAATATGTAATTATCAATACTTATATCAGACATGGGAATGACAGTTCACTATACTCATTGTCTATTAAAAAGCAAGTAACTCAGTAACAGTATATTTTTCTTTAAATATATTTCTGGAATTAATAAATTTACAATTTTCTCACTTGACCTTAATGCATAAATTATTCTGTGATTATTACGTTATTTAATTGTTATATGTACATTTTTGAATACATAAGCGCTTTATTAATTTTATGTGTGAAAATTCTAAATATACCTAAATTTTGTTCGATCATATATTGTGATTGTAGGTAGTGTAAGGTTTCAAACGAGCTTCTGGGTATATATTTTCTGTATTTAAATTGAATTATAACCTGGACAAATCACAATTAAAAGTTATGTCAATTCTTTCATTCTAATGATTTTGCTCATTTTCTATTCTGTTTTTATTTGGGTTGGATTTATTTTTTGATTAAATTGCCCTTGCAATGTTCTCTATTATCCAGTTGTTTTATACTTGACTGCCCAGATGTTGTTCATATAGAATTTTCATGATTGATGGCAAGAGTGCGATTTCTTATAATAAATATATTGCCGTTTTTGTTTTTTGTCCTTTTATTCAGATATGTCTACCATCTAGCACTCAATATATATTTAAATATTCCTTGAATATTACAGTAATAGGCATGTCATCACTATGTTATCAAGAAGATGACATACATCTTGCGATTTTATATCACAAGATGTTTAGATAGTTAGATTTGTTCTGATTCATTAACATTTTTAAATATTTCGTTATCAGTAGCTACTTCATTTAATCAATGTTAATATTATTCATTTATTACTTCGTAAGTTCAGGGCGAATGTCCCCAGTTCTGAAAGTCAGAAGTTATTTAGATCTTCAGTGTCATCGTCGCATTCGTTTGGACCATCTCTATGGAATGAAACCAAGTTTTCAACATTTCAGGAATTTTGCATCATTTGAATAGTTTTTCGAGTTTAAACAAAGCTTAACGCAAATTTGTGGCAATCATTTTTCTGTCCTTTTTGTAAAAAGCAATGTTAAAAAAGCTTGTTATTACGAGCTAGACACTTACCTTTGGTATCTGTAGCATACATGACATTTCGTTTGGGAGATACATATTACGAAAAATGACATCTACCATGAAAATAGGTCCGCAACCACAAATACGACGGCCACTTATTATAGAAAACGACGCAATCGAAGCAGTTAACGAATTTGTATACCTGGGAACGCTCGTCAATACTGAAAATGACACTACCTCAGAGATAAACCGCAGAATTTGCACGGCTAATAGATGCTATTTTGGCCTTAATCTCCTTTTTAAATCTACAGTTATATCAAGAAATACAAAAGTAAAACTCTACAAAACAATAATACGCCCAGTCCTAACATATGGTTCAGAAACTTGGACTTTAACAAAAAGCAATGAAAACATGTTAGGATGTTTCGAAAGAAAAAGACTGAGGCGAATCTATAGAGCGGTAAATGAAAATGGTGTCTGTAGAAGACGATACAACTTCGAACTCTATAGAATATACCATGAACCAGATATCGTAAAACACATTAAGATAGGACGTCTGACGTGGGTAGGCCATGTAATGCGGATGGAGCAAACCGACCCAGCTAGAAAACGCTCCTTGATAGACCTATTGGTCAAAGAAGAAGAGGAAGACCCAGAACAAGATTCCTAGATAACATAGACCAAGATATGAGAAATATGGAAATACATGCTTGGCGGAGGAAGAGAATTATTGGGGAGGCTAGGACCCACACAGGGTTGTAAAGCCAAAATGATGATGATTTTGGTGCGAAATTATGAACGATGGACTGATACTTTTGGGACAGAGCTCTTTTTGTTTTTCTATCTTCGATGTTTTAGTTTTTTTTTTATATTGTTTGTGTTTGTCATTATCTCTCATTATTTATTTTTTTGTGTGGTCGTTATTGTTATAAATTTATGTACAATTAAATATCAACGATAATTTGATATTGAAATTAAAATGACTATTTTTAAATATATACCCAGATTTACTTGAAACGTGTAGTTTTGAAGTTATTAGAATAAAAAGCGTTGGTTTAAGATCCATTGTCATAGTTTTCAAAATTTTTGTATCTTTAAAGTTATTAAATTTAAAAAAAAATATATGTCATATTTCTTGTAACCCCTTCATCTAACCTATGTCAAAGATTTCAATGAAATTAAAAGCCAAATTCTACTACAACACTCTCATAAGACCAGCTATGATGCATGACACTGAATGTTGAGTGGTTAAAAATGAAGAACAACGAATTCGTTTGATGGGTGAGAGGAGTGGCAAAAAACGATACTGACTGACATCAATTGATGTTAAAATGAGTTAGCACATGTGTAACATTGTTATGTTACTCAATACGAAGAATTACCAAGTTTAAAGTTACTCCAAGGAGTAGGAGACATGTCTGTAAAGGGGATTGGCATTGGTGTGATTTAAGATAGAAACACGGAGACATGTTTTTACAGAAGCTAGTTGTAACGATAAGACTACCAAGGAGAATTGAAATATAAAATAATTATTCAATCAACTATGGGAGCTTATCGTCTATGCTTCACCTAGCTCAGTCTCCGTCTTGCACAAGTGTGAATCCGCCTTGTTATATTCTATCCGTATTGTCTACAATATCAGGTTGCTCTACAATATCAGACAAAGTAGCCTCTAATTTTAACAAATCAACGCGGATATCTTTTCAATTTTTCTTCATCTACAGAAGTTGGCTGTAGACGGGAGATTCTACTAGACAAATGAGTTAAACGAGAAGTAAAAGCTTTTAATATGCTATCAGATTTTGTACCTGAATAATCAGATACAAGTAACAAATCAGAATAGGAAGCTAAAGCTTACTGGTAATCAACATCGAAAGATAAATTGACCAAAATATCTGAAAAACTACAGTTACTGGCTTCCTGAGAAAGAAGTCCACTAAGATTCTTTCGTTTTTCCTTTACTGTACTTGAGATAGAGACATCTCGAATAAGAATTTCGTCTGATAACGTCTAAGATATAATTCATCTGTCTTTAGATGTTTAGGTAACATCTTGAAGAAATAATTTAAAAAAAATTAAGAAAGTATTTAAAATACGCTATCCACAAAACTGGTTAAGTTAAAAAAACAGACCATTTAAATCGATATAAAAGTATCATTTCAAAAAAATGTAAAAATATCTGAGTATTAAGTATAAATCAAAATATGCTGAAATATATAAAAATGGTAAAATACTTTTTAAATTAACATTTATTTATAATAAGTAGCCAAAAAGTATGAAAATATCAAAATTTACTGCAAACAATATATTGAAACATAAAAATAGTATTTATTAATACTATAGTCCTTTTCCATCATATTGATAGCACAATATGTATGCAAATCCTCAACAGGTCAAAAAACATAGGCGTCACCCTATACTTGTTTTGAAATAAATAAAAAATATATATATTTTAAGATGCCGTCAACAATTCATTATCTTTTAAAAAATCTTCTGTAAAATAAGTGTCCACTAATCTCACTATACCGTTTTTGTGCGTAAAAAACGTCGGTATATATGTCACACGATTATTGTTAATTATACACGGGTGATTAACGAGATAATTCAATGTTTCACGAAATAAATTAATGTAAACAGTAATTTAAAGGTGATGATTGCTTTCTATACAAGTTATAACCTGACACAAAAAGAATACCTTCTTTGAACGATTACCTAGAATTATTGATAAGGCTTCATTAATGATAGTTTCAGTAGTTTTTATACCACATTACAGCTTATGCCAATAATATAAATTAGAAATTGTTTGCATCTTCCATTTAGTGTGTAGATGTACATTTTTCATGTCTTACCTACCTACGTTTTTGATGGCTACATCACAGGTTCATATATATACATACATACATACATACATACATACATATATATATATATATATATATATATATATATATATATATATATATATATATATATATATATGTATATAATTTATCCCAGTTAAGTATAGTTTTAAAGGTGCTTTTAGTCTAAGAGGGAAAAATATAATATTAAATGTACACGATGCACTTGTACATCAACGTCCTTTAAGTAATGTTCGTGAAATCGTTAACATGTGTTCAAATATGACAGGGGTTGGAGAAGCAACAATTTATAGATTCCTAAAAGAAAGAAAAGGAGGAACTGTTTCATCTCCCAAGAAGAGTGTAGGGAGTAAACCCTTGGAAATGGAAGAAATACATAAAAACATGATAAGACGCAGCGTCCACTCATTTTTTTAACAAAGAATTTCCAACATTGGACAAAATCCAAACATTAACTAGAGAAAACGAAGAGTTACCAATCATAAGCAACAAGAAATTATGGGGACTATTGAGAGAGATGGGATTTCGTTGGCAAAAGAATAGAAGAAAATTCGTTTTAATTGAAAAAGATTACATTGTATGTTGGAGACGAGATTGTATGTTGTAGCGAGAAGAAGGGAAAACAATTTTTTATTTGGACGAGACTTGGCTAAATGAAGATCATACTGTACCATATCTATGGGTTAATAACAATGTGAAAAGTTCCCGTCAGGCATTCATCGAAGGTGTATATACTGGAATAAACAATATTTCCGTTGGAGAAGGACGCAGACTCATAATAACCCATATTGGAAACGAATACGGTTTTGTCAATGGTGGATTATTAAGTTTTGCCTCAAAATCAACCAAAGATTACCACGAGGAAATGACTGCTGACGTTTTTGAATAATATTTTGAGCAAATGTTGGATTTAATTCCAAAAAATTCTGTCATAGTCATGGATAATGCTAGTTACCATTCAAGACTAGCAGAAAAATTGCCAACAACGGCATGGAAAAAAGGAGAGATAATCGAATGGTTGGATAAACACGCAATTGAGTACAAGGAGAATTCGACAAAAAAGGAATTATTACCTATTGTATGGCATCATAAAGCAGCTTATAAAAAATATATAATTGATGAAATGGCATTAAACCGTGATGTAATTATTTTACGTTTACCCCCATACCACTGTGATCTGAATCCGATAGAAAATATATGGTCTCAAGAAAAGGGTGAAGGCGGACGCAACAACAAAACTTTTAAATTAGAAGACTTATAACAATAATTAGAACATTCCTTATTAAAAGTAACTCCAGAAAATTGGAAAAATGCTGTTAGTCATGCTCACAAGGAAGAAAATAAAATGTGGAATTTGGATAATATGACTGATGCAATGCTGGAACCGGTAATAATTAACATTGGAGTTCAAGATTCCTTAGATTCTGAAGAAAGCAGTGAATCTGAAATGGAATTTGATTAATATAATATTAATTTTTTTACAAATCGGCCCCTGTTACGGCCACAAATTATTTTATATATAACCAATAAAATAAACATCGTACACTTCTTGAAAATTCATTAGTACTTGTTAATCTCCATCACTACCACACTGGCAACTTTATTTAGGGATTAGTAACCCTCAAAACTATTGTATTCTATTCTGCTTCAACCTTTATACCTGGTGGTCGTACTCAATTTAAAATTGTTTTCCTATATACTTCTGTAAACTTGTTGACAAATATCTATTTTTTATTGAGTCGCCCGTATCAACAGTTTAGGGATTTGCATACATAATGTGCTATCAATATGATGGAAATGGACTATAGTTAATTTGCTACCAAACTAAAAATTCAGAGCTTAAATCTTCGAATAAGGCAAGTTACGTTAGGCGCCAACTATTTTTTGAAGAAAAAATAGTAAAAAAGAAACACAAGGTTAAGGAATTAATAAAGAAATTAAAATAAAATAATTATTTAAGTATAAATTAATAAAGATGTGACGTGTATAACGTTACCCAGTCCTACCTAATTTAATAATATTTGTGGAAAATGCTCTCACTAACTATAAAAATTAATTTACAAGGTCTAAAATCTGAAGACTACCTGAACAGCCAAACCGGACAAACCAAAGAGAAAAACATGTCTTAAAGCTTTTTTTTCATAGGATTTTTCAAAAGTTGAACTTAATGACATCCACTAATAACCCTGCGCGGTTAACCAATCTGCCACAGTTGCCCAGAACTACTGATCGTTAAACAAATCCTACTAGATTGTCCACAATTCGTGAAAAAAGGAGATCTCTCCGAATCACAGGCGATGATCTCAAAACAGTTCTCATAAAAAAATCTCAACAGTGGTAACCTATTTAAAAGAAATCAAGCTATACAATTCTATTTAATGTAATATTTCTTGAATTTTTATATCCAATTGTGCAGTTGATATGGTTTTGTGTTTAAATAAAAAACAATCTTAGTTTATCAACAGCTAAGTTAATTTTAGCTTTTATTAATATAAAACAACTCTAAATTATAACTAATTAATAGAACTCTTATTCGGGTAAAAGATCATCTCCTAATTCTTCGTTGCTGAAGTCATCGAAATCTAACGGTTTTCCGGCTCCAGTTCTGGGTCTCAGTGGTTGAGGGCCAAGGGGATCAGAATAACTGGCATCTGAAACATGTTTTAATTAGAAGAATTTCTGCCACTAAAAATGTATAAAGACAGAATATTTATCGAATAATATGCATATAAATAAATTTATTGTTACTAGAACATTTTTTAACTAAAATACAGGTGTGGGATGATTTTCAAAAGTGTTGCTAATTTTATTCTATTCCGTTTTTGTGATTTCGTTTACAATAAAAACTACCCTAAATATGAAGGCATTGGATATTTTTTTTAGTACTATTTATATTAAAAACATATTGAAAATGCGTTTAAACAAACACTGCAGACTAGTCATATTTATATACATAGTTACTACAAAAAAAGTAAGATAACACGTATGGCAGGCAGATACGCTTTTTAGTTTTAATGCTTAGACCGATGCTTAATATCGCTGCCAGATCTGGTGTATGAATTTTGTAATTTTATCTTCTTCTTTAAGTGCCGTCTTCGTTCCGAAGTTTGGCTATCATCAAAGCTATGCGTATTTTTGATGCTGCAGATCTAAACAGTTGGTAATTGGTGCAATTGTATCATTCTCTCAAGTTTTTCAACCATGGATGCCTTCTTCTTCCTATAGATCTTTTTCCCATTATCTTTCCCTGCATAATCAATTGCAGCAACTGGTATTTATCTCCCCTCATAACATGTCCCAAATATTGTAGTTTGCGCTTTTTAACAGTAAGTATCAGCTCTTTCTCTTTCCGCACTCTCCGCAAAACCTCCACATTTGTTACTTTCTCTGTCCAGGGTATTCTTAATATTCTACGATACATCCACAACTCAAATGCTTCTATCTTTTTGGTCTCGATCTTTTTCAATGTCCATGTTTCCATCCCGTAGAGGAGAACTGACATAACGTAACATCTCAAAAGGCGAATTTTAAGTTTTAGACTTAGATCTCTTCCGCAGAACACCTTTTTCAATTTAGTAAATGTGGCTCTAGCTTTCTCTATTCTGGTTCTGATTTCTTCAGAGCAATCATTATTTTCGTTGATAACAGTTCCCAGGTAATTATATCTTCTTACACGTTCGATTCTTTGATCATGCACGGTTATGTCAGGGAAGTTTTGTGGTGATTTAGATATTAGCATTATTTTTGTTTTGCTTATGTTAAGTGATAATCCGTGTTCTTCACTGCATTCTACTATTTTGTTAATTAGTATTTGAAGATCTTCCCAAGTTTCTGCGATTAGTACCGTGTCATCGGCATATCTCAAGTTGTTTATTCGGATGCCATTTATCTTAATATTATATTTTGATCCGAAAGTGCTGTGTTTATAATGTCTTCGGAGTATAGATTGAATAAGGTCGGTGAGAGTATACAACCCTGTCTTACGCCTTTCTTGATCTCGAATTTCTCCGTTGTCTCTTGCTCTATTCGGTTATTTTTGCTTTCTGGTTATAGTAAATCTTAGAGATAATTCTAATGTCCCTTTTATCCAAGTTTTTTTCTACTAGCAGTTTCATTAAGTGATCGTGACGAACTTTATCAAACGCTTTGTTGTAATCAATAAAGCACATATATATATATATATATATATATATATATATATATATATATATATCTTGGTTTATATCTAGACATCTTTGGCATATGACGTTAAGTGCAAATAGTGCTTCTCTTGTTCCAAGCCCGTTCCGAAATCCGAATTGAGTATTACTAATATCTGCATCTAGTTTTCTGTTAATTCTTGAGTGGATTACTTTGATGAATACTTTTAATGTATGCCCCATTAAGCTTATAGTGCGGTAGTCAGTGCACTGTTTTGCATTTGCCTTTTTTGGTAAGGTTACAAAAGTTGAAAGTAGCCATTCCTTTGGTATTTCTCCTCTTTTGTAGATGCAGTTAAAAAGGTCGAGTAGAATATTCACTGAATTGCCTTCCACAAGCTTAAGAAGTTCTGATGTGAGCCCGTCTGGACCCGGTGATTTACCATTTTTCATTATTTTTTATAGCGTATAATAGTTCTTCTTTAGTTATTTCTGGTCCTTCGTCGCCTTGCAAGTTATCTATGTTAGGTTCTTGTCTTTTATCGTCGAACAATTCTTCTACATAGTTCTTCCAGGTCCTAAGCTTTTTTTGTAGATCGGCTATTATTTCACCATTTGCGTTGCATAGGAGATTGGGATGTTTTCGTTTTTGTGTAATTTTATAAGTGATCCTTTTATCCGTTATGCATTTGCAGTATTTGATTATTTTTGTATTTGGCCGATTTCACGTGTATTAAATTAATATGTGTTTTTTTAATTAAAAACCTTAATAGTTAATCCTGAAGAAATTTGTGGAATAAATAAAGAGGTATAAAGACCTTGCTAATGATACGATTTACAACAGTATAATATGAGGACATTGTGTGGTGCACATTAAGTACAATAATAATAAACGCTGTAGTGTACCACCTATGTAATAGTAATAAAATATTCATGAAAAGGTTGAACTGCAGTGATTAATATGAGAATTCCATGGATACAAAAAGTTACCAATGGTGATGTATTTCGGCGCATAAGTAAACAAAAAGAATTACTCAGCATAATTAAAGAGAGAAAAATACAATACTTGGGTCATATATTGAGTACACTGCAAAAGATTAGTTGGACGACGCCTGAACTCGTGGCTGAAAAATCTGAGGAGATGGTTTGACTGCTCATCCACAGAAATCTTTCGTGCAGCAGTTTCCAAAGCTACAATTGCCATTTGGATCGCCAACCTTTGTAACGAGACGGCACAATAAGAAGAAGATTAATATGACAATGTATGGAAGTATAAGTTTATTAGGGAAATAATGACAATGGATGGAAGTATAAGTTTATCAAGGAAATATGTTAGTTTATAGAAATATTAAAACCATGACAACAATTCAAAATAAATTGTTGTCCTGCTTTAAGTTGTTGCTTAAATTGTCTATATTTGGCGAAATTTGTACGATTTTAGGGTTTTTTGTAACATCTTGATTTTTTGTCTAATACTCATGAAAAAAACCAAACGTTTTCCAATATTAATTAATATAAACAGAGCAAACTTTTGTTTAACTCATCATCATCTTTGGCTCGACAACCCTCTGTGGATCTTGGCCTGCTCTAAGATTCGTCGCCATTCTGTTCGGTTTTTAGCAACATGTTGCCATCTTCTGATTTTTAATATTCGTAAGCCGGTTTCTACTCCATCTAACCACCTAATTCGCGGTCGGCCTTTGCTTCTTTTTCCTACAGGTGTTCCTGTGGATAGCTTTTTAGCAATGGTATTTTCTGGCATTCATATTATGTGTCCAGCCCATCTAAGTCGCTGTGTTTTAATGAACGTTATGACATCTGGCTCATCAAAGAGCTGATACAATTCAAAATTATATCTTCTGCGCCACTGCCCTTGGTCGTTTACAGCTCCAAATATTTTGCGGAGTATTTTACGCTCAAATATTCCCAAAAGTCTTTCATCTTTCTGCGTTAGAGTCCATGTTTCTGCTCCATATGTGAGGACCGACCTCAGCAATGTTTTGTATATAATAATTTTAGTTTTTTTTGAATGTTTCTTGAGTGGAAATGCTTTTGGAGTCCTATTTGTAAGATTTATTCGTCTTTTGATTTCTTCGCTTGTTTTATTGGTAGCAGTCAATAGCGACCCAAGGTATGTGAAGTTGTCAACACGTCCAAAGGTATGACTTCCAAAGACTGTTTCCCGTTCCTCATTTGCTATCGAATCCTTTGTAACCAACATGTACTTGGTTTTGTCTTCGTTGACGACTAGACCGACCTGTTTCGCCACTGTTTCCAATTCTAGGAGATATTGCTCAACATCTCGCTTGCTACGCCCTACTATGTCAATGTCATCAGCATATGCTAAGACTTGTATCGATCTATTGTAAATAGTACCGCCATCCCTAATTCGTGTATCTCGGACTGCCTTTTCTAAGGCAATATTAAATAGGAGGCAAGCCAGAGCATCTCCTTGTCTGAGTCCATCCTTTATCTCAAAGGATCTAGAACTCTCTCCCTGTATTCTAACAGTGGCTTCTAAGTTAGACATTGTCATTCTCGTTAGTCGGATAAGTTTCTCTGGTATATCAAACTCATGCATTGATTGGTATAGCACTGTTCTCTTGACACTGTCGTATGCGGCCTTGAAGTCGACGAATAGGTGATGGGTTTCAATATTGAATTCTAATGTTTTCTCGAGAATCTGCCTTATTGAATGAATCTGGTCAATTGTTGATTTTTTTGGAGTGAATCCAACTTGATATTTACCAATTATGCCCACTGTGTAAACTTGCAACCTTTCGTAGAGAATATTTGCTAGTATTTTGTAAGCAGTTGTTAACAGGGTTATACCTCTATAGTTGTCACACTGGAGCTGGTCACCTTTTTTATGTAACGGGCATATCACGCCTTGAGACCATTCACAAGGCATGGTCTCATTATGCCAAACAAGAAGTAAAAGCTTATGCAGTGTCTGTAGTAGGGCATCGCCACCATTCTTGTAGAGCTCACTGCAAATTTGATCAACTCCTGGTGATTTATTATTTTTAAGCTTTTTAATGGCTTGGGTAACGTTTTCGATGGTAGGTGGTCTTTCGTTTGGGTTGAAAGGATTCCAATCATTTCGATTTGCTAGGGTGTTATCTGCTTCTTCGATATGATGGCCATTAAATTTTGCATCGAAAAATTCAACCCATCTGTTTAGGATTGAGGCTGTAGCATTTAGGATGTTTCCTTCTACATCCTTACAGCTCCTTATTCTTGGCTTAAACTCTTTGCGCATTTTGTTTAGATTTCTGTAGAACTTTCGAGTTTCATTTTGATTTCTTATCCATTCTGTGCTTTCCAACTGCTTTTGCTCAAATTGTCTTTTTTTCTTCTATGTAATGTTTTGTCGATTAAATATTTAATGATTAAAACATATTTAATTTGCTTCGATGCTTAATGTCGATTAAATGCGAGAAGGTAGATTGTGCCACAGTCATGCACAGAGGGAATACCCGCATAGAAGCACACAGAAAGGTAAAATGAATAAAAAAGATTGTTCAAGTAAAATATATAAAGTTATACACTCATCGTTTACAACTGTCCTTTATTATCTTTATCAGCCCACTAGAGGGATGGGCAGAGCAAACACATAATTCAGGGTTACACCTGCTACATAGACTGGTCTGAAACTGCAGAAGGGTCGAGTGGATAAATTTACAATAGTGGTGAAAATGTAAACATTTCTCTTGCACTTGGAGATACTAGTATTATTACTTGGAGATATTATTATTTACATTCTTAGTACACTAGTGTGCCAGGCAGTGATTTATGCAATCTGTCTAGCGTGCAACAGAAATTAACATGAAGGCTTTTGAACAAAAGCGGAGGATCAATATATGCCCAAATAGTCAAGCGCCTATAGGGAATGCCAAGGAGAACTCGATACACTGGCTAAACATAAGCATGTCATACTTTATGATGAACTAATATAATTTAGTTTTATAATAAAATATTTAATATTTATTACCTATAGCTGGTTGTGCAAATCCGGAATCAGCACTACCCCCACTATTATGTGCTTGCATTAATCTAGAGGAACGTAAATTTCTATTACCAGAGTGCGGTGGAGATTTTAGGGGACCGTTTTCAGGTACAGGACTGAATCCTGAACCTGCTCTTGAAGATAGACCACTATTTGTTCTCCTGGAACCTAAAATGTTAAAAAATATAACACTAGTATATCTAAGTAGCTCAGTATATTTTCAGAGATTTCCTCTTAACATCTTTCTAATGTAAATTGGTATATAATAGGAGATAAACATGTTATAATTGGAAGATAATTGTGATATAGCTACGACATTGTTACGATAAACAAACTTTAATGATCATTTATATAAGGCAGAACAGCAAAAACGTCATTCATAATAATGAAAAAGTTAACTAACAAATACAACTCTTAATAATTACTTACATTATTGTCAACTTTTCCATTTTTTAGAAATATAATGAACTTTTTGACTTCAAATGGATCACTTTGTATATTTTTCTTTTTGAAATCAGCAAACAATGCTGAATATTTTTCAAGTAATATTTCCTATAATTAAAGGCGGGTTGACACGATCCAAGTGTACTTGGTTAAAATCTGCTTGGAGTGCTTGGACGTTGCGCGCGAAACACTTGGAAGCTACTTTGATCATTTCACCTGTTCATCCAAGTAGACTTGTATCAGCAGGTTCTATCCAAGTTAAGTAGGACGCTGGCCAGCTTCCTTGGATCCCAGTAGTAAAATTAAAATGGCGCCGTTGTCGAAAAATCGAATCGAACTTTTTTAATTTTTGGATAGACAATTTGCAATAGTTGTTCAAATTGTTCAGTTGTTGGTCTTAAATGGTTTCTAAATGTACCTTTATCTTCATTTGCTACTTCACTTAGAAAGTTGGATGAAGCTTCCAGCGCTTCACGTTTACGTATCCATTTACGAAAACAAATTTTTCTTTTTTTCTTTTTTATTCCATTTTTCTGGATTTCAAGCTCATGTATCAACATATCAGTAACCACTAGAATACCTTCCGCAATCATTTCTGCCATCTTTACAATGGTTATTTGACAACCGTGGCAACCAACTTGGTACAAGTATAGGGGAAGGACGGGGAAGATGACGCAGCGTCTAAGATGACGCACCTCTGTATTTTATCAAGTACTTCACTAAATTCAGTTTTTATACCCGTGGCGCCCTCCTTTAGAAACTACTATTACTTTAAAACTTCATCGGACAGCTTTCGTACTGTTTAGTATCTGTGAGGCAGAGTAACGCGATACACGTTGATTTCTTGTTATTTTTGACACTGCGAATATTAATGGTAAGTTGTTTAAAAATGGTTCCATTGGATTTTCTTCATATTCATGGGAGTAGGTGATATTTATTTTCAGTTAGCGAGGATTTATCTGTTAAATATTTGATGATGGATAATTTTGATAACCACTTTTTGTAGGTTATGCTGAACAGGCTAAGTTGACGCAGACTGCGTCATCTTTGCTGTTGTAGTGCGTCATCTTTGCCTTTTCAGTTCATTACCTTAAATAACAATGGAGTATAGAATATTTATTATTTAGTGTCTATTTTGCATTTTGAGGCATCTTTTTCTTTTTTAGAAATGGGAAAATATATACGAAAAACACAGAGAGGATCATTTTCTGCAGCAGCTCTTAATGCAGCATTGAATGCAATTTGTAGAGATGGTCGTAAAATTCGGGAAGTGGCAAGGGCATTTTCAATACCAGAAGCTACATTGAAGAGAAAACTTAAGGTTAAAAAATTATTAAAGGAAGTAAAATCAGAGTCTCTTGGTAGAGCCCCATTGTTTTCGGCACATCATGAAAAGGAGATACTAGATCATGTTCTCAAGCTGGCCAATTTATTTTTTGGTATCACTTGCATAGAGCTGAGAACCATGGCATTTGCTTATGCAGAACGCAATGAAATTAAACACAATTTTAATAAGAATAAACAAATGGCTGGAAAAGACTGGTATCTAGGATTTATAAAACGAAATCCTCAAATTTCCTTGAGAAAGCCAGAAGCTACAAGCATTAATAGAATAACAGCCTTCAATAAAATAGAAGTAGACCGCTTTTTTAAAAATTTGGAAACAGTGCAAGAAAAATATAAATTTCTGCCAGATCGCATTTACAATGTTGATGAAACCGGTATATCTACGGTTCCTAAAGAATCATGTAAAAGACTTTGACCCAAAGGAGTAAAGCAGTTTGGAATCATTTCTTCGTGGGAACAAGGGAAGAATATGACGGTAATAATGGCGTTCAGTGCCTCCGGTAACTACATACCTCCATTATTTATATTTCCCAGGAAGAGGATGAGCCCACAGCTTCAGAAAAATGGACCAAGCGGTGCGATTTACAACTGCACGGATAATGGATGGAGTAATACGTCTATGTTTTTATTATGGCTGAAGCATTTCCAAAAAAAGTCCTGTCTAGTCCAGATAATCCCGTGCTGTTAGTATTAGATAATCACTCGAGCCATATTTCACTGGATATTTATAATTACTGCAAAGAGAATGGGATTATAATGGTTAGTATTCCACCCCACACATCCCACAAATTACAACCTCTTGATGTGTTATTTTTTTCTGCATTAAAATATGCGTATGGTCGCTATTGCAATTCCTTTCTAAAATCTAAGATCAGCAACTCAGAGTTTGAAGATAAAATTACTCCATATGATGTCGCCGAGATTTTTAAGTTAGCATATGATCAGGTGGCAAATATTGATAAGGCCGTTTCTGATTTCGGAACGTGCGGAATTTTTCCGTTAAACTCTGATAAGTTCACAGAAGATGACTTTTTTCCTGCTGGTAATTTAAACAATGATAGCTTGGATAGAGATGTTTCTCCTGAACCTGCACCTCAGGGAACACCTCCACTAATAACAACACCATCTATAAGAGAACCAGAATTACCACGTCCATTAACCAGCCGACAGTCTCCTGAAAGTCGTCACACAACCCCCACAAAACCAAATGAAATAACCAAACGTCCACATATTTCTCTTTCACTTATTTCTCCAGTTCCTTTGCCCAATAAAAAAATTAAAAGAAAATATGGACGACAAAAGCAACATTCTGAAATTCTAACAAGCACCCCTTTAAAAGAATTCTTAGAAGAAAAAGAGAATAAAAAAAAAGAAAAACTGGCGAAGTCGGAAGAAGGAAAGAAAAAAGTAACCAGACAAGTATTGGTTAATGATGCAGGATTAAAACTAAATAAAAATAAAGGGAAAGCCAAAGTACAAAAAATAATCAAACAAAAAATAAAGAAAAAAATCTTGGAGGATAGCGATACTGAAGAAAGCGATTTTGATGAAGAAGGTCTTTGCAATGACGATGAGTTGGATGACATAATCAACGAGGGAGGTGAAACTGATATCTGCATATTATGTGGAGACTTCGTCAAAAAGACGGAAACATGGTTCAGATGCACAAGTTGTGGACAATGGGTGCATAAAGAATGCAGTGGAGCCAAAAGTCCCGAAAACTACATTTGTGACTTTTGTTAATATGTTAAAAAAGCTTTGTTTACATTTTCTTACTTTCGGTATCAAAAAATAAATTTTCTTTTCATATCACTTGCGCTTTTAATATAGCTACCTACATACGCCATCTTCACCATCACTGTGCGTCATCTTTCCCTCGGTGGAAGGTAAGATGGAAAGCCTTTTTTAAAAAAGCCGCATAAAAAATACTTCCTTTTATTGAATTTAAAAATAATCCTAGAAATTGGTTATAGAAATGTCCAAATTACAGGCTCGTAGCATTCAAAGTTAGCTTTAATATTTTTTACCCTTAAATAAAATGTATTTTGCTTAGGTGCGTCATCTTCGACGTCCTTCCCCTACTTGTACAAGTCCACTTGGTTCAAGTTGGAATCCAATCATTCTTGGATAGTGTCAACCCGCCTTTAAGGCCATAATTTTGAAGTACTAGCTGACTTTATAATATATCCATTCAAATTAAAATAATAGTTTAACGAAAGAATAACAGCTTCGATCTTTTAATAAACTACTATTTCAGTTTAGAAGTTTATTTAAATTTAGTAAGAAACGTTTAATAATTTTAATATTTAGGTATAGGGAGTATTTCATGAAAGAATTTTTAGGGACTTTAAATAGAAAAAATATATGTATGGAGTGATCTATTTGAAATTAGAGAGTTCATCATATTTTCGAAAAAAAGGAAAATCTGACAATAGTGTAAATACTACCATAATATCCGCTGCATTAGAAAGCCCTTATAAACCAAAATTTATAAAAATCGTGCAAACCGTTTCCAATATACCTATTTGAAGCGTAAAACAAATAAAAAAAATGTACTTATTCGATCCCGATAATTTAGTACGTTCTCAGGACCGTTTCCTGTAATACATTTTTTATGTTTTTTGGTGCGTAGATTCGATTTTTGGAGGGTATCAGGATGAAGGCTAAAAATCAGTCAGATAATTTGTTATTAACAATTTAACCACTCGTAACAGCTCGTTATTTATCCAGCCATTATCGGAGCAGTGATATACTGCACCTATCGGGCCATTATTTTGAAATTGAGCACTGATCCTCTTTCTCGGGAAGATGAACATCGTTGGAATGTATCCTCCAAACGCCATCATCTCAAAAGCGATTATAACGGTTTTTTTCTTTCCAAAAAGATTCCAGAACTTACTTGTTTCCGTCCCTTTGGGCCCAAAATTCTTGAAGGTCTTTGTATCGTCGTTACGCCAATCTCGTTAACATTATAAGACTATTTTAATCAACATAAAATTAAGAAGCACATTTTCAATAAAAATCACGCTTTCATTGGATATCATAAAACCAATACATAGTACAATAAAGATTAACGCTTACTTTGTTAAAATTTGCGTAGCTTTTTCTTATAGGAATCTATGTATTATCATTGAAGTCTCAATAACAACTGAAATTTGTAAACACGTCTACGTGGTAGCAATATCTCTGCGCGAAAACTCATATACTGCGCATCGAGCAAAAAGACAAAACAGGGAATCTAATCGTTATGAAAAGGAGACCAAAAAAGTGGCCTCTGATGGCGAACATATCCGGAAATGCGAATGCGCCAAATTTAAATTTTCCGACACTTATTAAGAGTAGCTATAAAATAGTTTTCAGAATGTGACTTAGAAGAGAAAGTTTTAATAAAATATTAACGATTATAGTCTAAAATGTGAAACAATTGTTGAAAGACTTCAATATAAATAAGATTTCATGTGACAGTTGGGACAAATAATAACATAACCCAACTAAATTTGATTTCTTAAACAAGAAAAGACTCTCTTTCCTTGTTTAATTTGGCCTCTCAAGATGGCACTTCCTGTATAACAATATTTTTGCCCCCACTACCTTTACATTCCCTCTTTTGTCTTTTTGCTCGATGATACTGCGTTAGACATATGGACGTGAGCACATGACACTGCGTATAATTTCTCGATGCGTAAAATATTCCCACCGTCCCTTACGTACCTGGTCTACTACTGTTCACTCGTTCTCTGACTTCCTTCGATTTCTCCAGTTTCTTTAATTCCATCAGATAATCTTGTGCTTCCCGCATACCAAGGTCGCCGCACAATCTTACTAGAAATCTTAGGCATTCTGAATTTTCAGGGAATTGCCTATAAAATAAATTATTAGTGCTTTTAGTAGACTGAAGATGTTGCTGAATATAAATCTACCTCACAATTTTGTATTAAATATAATATCAAAATTAAAAACAATTATATTGCAGAAGTTACCTGTGAATCTCCTGATATAGCGTTAGCGCTTTATGCATATTTCCACTCCTTCTATGACAACCAGCCACCATCATATTCCATTTTGGTTCTTGGGGCTGCATGAAGGCTGCTTTTTCAAAATAGGTTAACGCCTTTTCTACAACTTGCATTTCGATATAGTAAGTTCCAAGCCAATCGATAACTGACAAATTGGCAGGATAATATCTGTAAGACTTAAAAAGTTTATTGATATTATAACACTGAGATAGTCATTTCAAATACTTACGTCAGTATGATAGTGATGAGCTTGCTGCTTATCACCTTCATGGTCATATAGTTCTCCCAGTTTTTGAAGAGCCTTAGCGTCTGTGGGCACTAAACCAAGAAGCTGTTGGTATGTATCGGCCGCTGCTTCGTTGTCTCCTATTAATTCTAACAAGTTAGCTACTTGATACACCACTGCAGGGAGAAGAGCTAAAGATCCGGAGAACCGTTGAAAGCAAGAAAGAGCTTCTACGTAATGTCCTTGACGTTTTAAACACAGTCCTAAATGAAACAAATACTTGTCAGTTTATATACAAAGCAGGATTGTCTCACTACGTAAAAATCTTGTATATCTGTATATAATTTCATTATTATTATGTGCATTTTTTAACTAAAGCTAGTTTCTATGTATTGACAAAGCTCATAATTCAATAGCCTAGTTGATCTACTAGCTACTCGTTTTTCCTCACTGAATACGTGGGTTAATCCTTATATATTACAGGATCCAACTTGTAAATATACTTTGGAGACGGCTATCGCCGTATTCTCGTTCTCCTCCGCTAATCCTCCCGGTACAATGCATGCTCCTCCTCCAAACATCTCGATTCCATCGCTCTTCTAATTCCTTCATTCCATGAGCGTCGAGGTCTATCTCTTTTTCTTCTTCCAGTGGGCTTCCATCTGTAAAGTTTTAAGGGCTAACGTTCGTCAGGCATTCTCAATAGGTGTCCAAACCATTTTAAACCTCTTCTTTCTATTCTGTTAATGACCATTTCCGTAGCATTCATGCTATTTGTTATAGATTCGTTGGTCTTCCTTTCCAGCCTTGATGTTCTAGTACTTCTTCTTAAATAATCCTTTTCAACTGCAAACAATCTTCTCTTCAGGTCTGCATTAATTGTCCATACTTCAGAGCCATAACAAAGAACTGATTCAAACATAGTTTACCCTATTCTTTTTTTGTTCATTTTGGAAATGTTGCGATCTCACCATAAGGAGTTCAGACATCCTACAATTTTACGTTCCTGATTAATTCGGTGTTTAATTTCAGTTTCTCCCAAGCCGTTCTTATTAATGAGTGCACTTAACTATTAAAATTTTTCCACTTGTTTGATTTCCACGTCCTTGTCTATCTACACTTCAAATCTTACATCTGAATTGATAACTAAATATTCTGTTTTCTTCATGCTGACTTGTAACCCCCATTTTACATATTCTCTGTATAGACGCTTTATCATAAATTCTAGATCAGCGGGGCTCGAAGGATCGATCGCCAAAGTTTTTGAAGTCGATCGAGATTCACGGAGAAAATACGGGGACTGTTTTGATTCACCACACGTGATGATCAAAATAATTATGATGCTATGTACTTTTCTTTGCAATTTGACGAGTCAACCGATATGACTGATACCTCCCCGTTGTGTATTATCATTCGGATGGTATTTTCTGACATGTTGGCTAAAGAAGAATTGTTAACAATGCAGCCTCTGAAAAAAAAACTCGCGGAAAAGATATATAAAACGTTTTTATAAATTTTTTGAAACAATATGAGCTAACGATTTATAAACTGGTGTGTGTTACAACAGATGGTGCACCATCCATGACTGGCGATAACAATGGATTTGTTGCATTATGTCGAGCCAACGATGACTTTCCATCGTTTTTTTCATTTCATTGCATCATTCACCAGCAAGTTTTGTATTCCAAAATTTTAAATATGGACGACATCATGAAGATGACAACAAAAATTGTGAATTCAATCAGAGCGCGAAGCTTGCAACAACGTCTTTTTAAAGCGCGACTGGAAGCTAGAGCTTTAAACATACTGATTACTTCTGCATACAGATATGAGGTGGTTGAGCCGTAGAAAGTTTTTGATAAGTTCCAGGAGCTACTTCCCGAAATAATTTCTTTTTTAAAAGAACGAGGAGATGACACTCATCTACTTCAAAACGAAAAATGGCTCAGTGATCTGGCTTTCACCGATTTAACAAATCATTTGAACCTCCTTAATTTTGAACTACAAGCTAAAAATAAAACAATTATTGATATGATGAGCGTAATACATTCTTTGGTCAACAAATTTATATTTTTGATTAGGCAAATTAGCAGAAAGTATTTAAACAACTTTCTATTCTTGAAGAAAAGGGTAGCCGCTCATTTGAATTATGTTTATTGCGAGGCGGAGCTGCAAGCACTTCATAGCGAGTTTAAAAGACGCTTCGCTGATTTTAAAAAACACCGATATTGTAACAATCATGTCTAATCTATTTTCTCGTCAAGACGTGGCCACAAATAGCCACTGAAATATCCGTTACGTTCAATATGAAGATCATTTCCGTCCAAGATGAGGTACTGAAAATAATTTCGGATATACACCTTAAATCCAGAGCGACCGATACGAAATTTTGGTCTTTCATATCGTCTGAGAAATATCTGTCTTTGAGACAAGTAGCTCTGCAGCTCACAGCATTCTTTCGATCAACATACTTGTGTGAGTCTATATTTTCCCAAATGAAGATAGTGAAATCAAAATATAGTAATCGGCTAACTGACAAACATCTCTTTTCATGCTTGCCTTTGGCCCTCGGTAATTACGTACCATCATTATGAAATACTTGTGAATGATATGCAGTGCCATGCATCAATATAAAAAAAATAATAATATGAAAAACATGACTTTAATTACAACTCTCTGTATATTGTTCTGAAGCTATTTTCTTGTGGCATTTTAAATTAATTACTATTTAACTAGGAATAAGCCACAATTAAAGATAAAAATACGTTTATTGACGTTTCAAGTTCCACTTCGGAAATCGTTCTCAAAATACAAACAGTAAATTAAACAAATTTTGTTTTTTTGTTACTTGTTAAAAATTCTTCTAATTTAATTTTATCTGACGTACTTATATTGACATTTCAGACATACATTATGCATTTTAAAGTAGACGACTTTAAAATGATATTGCCAATATTGTTGAATTGCGCTCCTGGGACGACTTTACTTATAAGATAGTTCATTCGATAACATGAAATTAACTTTAATTAATAATTCAAATGTAGTCCTAAAAGAAACGGATGGTGAAAAAAGAAAAATCAAAGAAGCGGCTCTAATTATGCTAAATGAGACCAATTGTGTCGCAAATTCCTCGGCAGAATGTAGTAGGATCTGGTTACCAATATTGAAAGAGGAAGTTATGAATAAGAAAATACCAGTATTAGTAAGTCAGTAACATATAGAGGATACATCATTTATATTTTTTAAATAACGTAACATATAAAATCAGAATTTTGATGTTTGTTGAAGGTAAACTAAATTCACCAACAAATACTTACAATGTCGGGATAGTATTATGAGGCTTTTTGTCTGGTTTTTCCCTCATAATTTACTATGGAATCACTAACAGGAGAATTTTACTGTCATCATGTCATTTGATTGTCTTTTTAAAGACGAATTACATGCTATGATTTTTTCTGACGGATATTCTCAAGTTAAAGTTGATTTCATGTAATGGAATGAACTATCTTATAAGTAAAGTCGTCCCAGGAGCGCAGCTCAATAATATTGGCAATACCATTTTAAAGTCGTCTACTTTAAAATGCATAATGTATGTCTGAATTGTCAATATAAATGAGTCAGATAAAATTAAATTATTAGAAGAATTTTTCACTAAGTAACAAAAAAAAATTGTTTTACTGTTTGTATTTTGAAAACGATTTCCGAAGTGGAAATTGAAACGTCAATAAACGTATTTTTACCTTTAATTGTGGCTTATTCCCAGTTAAATAGTAATCAACTCTCTGTAGTTACAACTTTTTATCAGCTAGAAATGTGCAATACAGTTTTTATTTTCAAAGTTGTATTTTTTACTATACTTTGTTATAAACCAGGAGAAGTAAACTAAAGAGACAGATTCACGCCTAAGAAAGTCACTAGAAAAGTTGCCATATATATCTTCTTTTTTGGTTGATCATATCGGCCTTCGACGGTAATCCAAAAATATTATATTATACTAATATGTCGCTAAAGAGTTCTAATAACAACTTTTTTATATAAGAGCAACTAAAAATCTAAAAATTAAAAGGATAACGCAGAAAACACAAAAAATCCCGATATAACTTAATTAACATATGAAATGCCATAAGTATCAAAGTTTCATAACAGTGGAGTAAACTTGCCTGAGGTTGGACCAATTACAACCAAACATTGCAGCGCGGTAAATTTGAATTACTCCTCTGGTTTAAAAACAGAGTATAGCAGTCGATCTCTGGACGCTTGCAGTTTATGTAGTAGATCCCATGGAGTATAAGTCTGAGCACCACTGTTCTAGATCATAAGAATTTTGAGCTAGGACGACTTGGTCATCCACAAAGTTCAGGGAGAACTTTGAAACATCATTTCCTGGCAGTGGTTTTTTCAATTTTGTTATGCATCCTTGTTTTAGTCCGTTAGTTACTTTTATTGGCTGATAGTCCATTTCCGATTTTAAGGTAAGTAGTGTTATCCCTGTATAATTCTGTGATTATTTCTAAAAGATATGAACTAATGCCGCGTTGTTGTAAAGCTTGCCACAATTTAAGTCTTTTCTAGGTCGATGAAGGGTAGATGTAATTCGGTACCAACCTCTATTATTTTCTATTAATTGTTGGAGTATAAACAAGTTATCAGTGTAAGATCTACCAGGCGTAAATCCACTTTGGTCTTCACTAATTAGATGTCCTACAATCTTGTATTTTTTTATTTATTATCTTTTCAAAGAATCTCCCGAAAGTAGGTAGGATACTTAATCCTCTGTAGCAGTTAGGATCTTTTCGATTACCTTTTTTAAAGATGGACACTTGGTTAGCGCTTTTCCATTCAGATGGTACTTTACTACTTTACCACGTATTACGGGTGAATCCATCCTTCTTAAACGGTTTTTTAATTGGCTGTAACTGATACGATATAATACAATAAAACGATAATACGGGATAATACGATAATCTATCGTATTAACTGTATCCAAGAAGTTAACAGTATCGACTTTTATATTATGGTTCTCTAGAGTCAAAACCCGTTCCGGTAGGTATCAATGAATGGACGTTAACGGAACCATTAGACCCCATTTTTCATCGCACTACTCATTTATTAGCTTAGTCGATTTCGTTCTTGACCTTCAATACAATGTCTCAGGCCCTTTGGAGTTTATACTGTATACATATGAAATATTTTTTTGTCAAGCGTGTAATTCAAACCAATAAACTAACAATCTGCATACTTCGAAGTATACTTGCAAGCCCATTGTTACATATAGTCGACAGTTCATGGGGTGTAATCATTAATAAATATCAAATGGTTTCAATATTTAAGTTAAAAATAAAATATGGAATACAACACAACCTTTTTATACGACAGATCTTCAAGCTTTCGTCATTGTAATCGCCCAAGTCGGATAATTCTGCTATGGCACAAGAAATTTGATCATTATTATTTACTATAAAAGAAAAATTAAATACCTAAATTAAAAATAGCTTCAAAAAACGTAGGATCACAGGCCAGAGCTTTTTGGAAACAGTTGATAGCATCTCCGACATTACCTTTGGCCATTAAACATGCGCCGTAGTTGACAAAGCCTTCGGCACTTTTGGCGTTTTGTTTTTCAACGACTTCTGCGTATCTAAGAGCAGTGTCATATTCTCCTTGCTAAAAAAATATCTATTGTATAAGGAGGTGATAAATAATGGGTATTATTTTACCTGACGATTCTATAGCAGAAAATAAAAATAATGAATTAAATTGAATAATGAGGAACACATTTGGTGTCTTTCTGTTTTTATATATTGTATATTTTAGTAGTAGAATACTAGTGGTATAGTACAATGAATCGCAAGAATAAATAGGTGATAAATGCCGGAATGCTAGCAAATGACAAATCAGAAATGATGAACTCAAGGAATGCATGAGAAGAGAAGGCACCATAATGGACAACATACAATAAAAGTCATTATTTACAGCAAGCCGATACATTTCAGGAAGCTACTGAGACAATCGAAGCTTGAACGTTGTATTTAAGTCCCAGTATGTATTAATACATTTTCCTTTATTATTAACCCTTTAAAGGATAATAACTGGAGCTAATTCTTTTTGATATTTTATTACTTTATGCTGGTTAGCTGATGGTTGCTGATGATCTACATATGATTTGTTTTTTAGACCGGAAACTTAAAGAAGTGTTTACTTACTTTTCAACTGCCAAGAAAATAAGAAGAAACTATGGCCATAATAAATATTAGATCTAGAGAAACAAACGTTGGGTAAAAAAGTTCGCATATATATGCGAGAATATAGACTAGTAAAAATGGCAAAAACAAATCAAGAAACGGCGAAAATATATAAAGGCCAAGAAAAAGATGTACATAACATGAATATTCAATTAAAAGACGTCCAACTATGGAAGTGAAGCAGCCTATGGTAGGAAGAAGAAGAACGAGTCAATTGTAATTTTCTACTTGCAATTTTAAACTATTCAGGGCAGTCCAAAAAGAGATACTTTTTTTTCAAAACAAAGCATTTTTGGCACAAAATATAAAATATTCTCTACAATGTTATGTCCAAAGTTTTGACTTATTAAATGTTTCTCTCGTTTAGTAAACTCAGTATCCCATTTAAAATTTCTAGTGGTATCTAAACTATACAAAATTTAATAGTTAAGATTAAAAAATCGACTCAACTGACGTATTCAAAGTTTTTGAAGATATAATTTGCTAAATTGGTCAGAAAAACTAAATAAATTAATCAGAAAACATGATAGCACGATAGCAGCGATCAATACAGCAAAATTTCTCTTAATTCTATTTAATCACATAATTAAAAAAACAGTTTTCGGTCCTAAATTTTGTTTTCTGACGAGATTAATATATTTTATAATCTAGATGCATTGACCCATATGGTTACAGATGCACAAATATGCTTATCAGATAACAAATACATGTTATGCCTATTTGTGGACCTAAAAGGTGCATATGATGTTTTTGATTTGAGTATTTTAAAAACAAAATTGTGTAGAATGGGTATCAGCAAACAGGTATCAAATAACTTAATAAATTTGTTTCTAAACAGAAAAATTTATATTCGTGACCACAGAAATGTACTCCACGGGCCAAGAACAGTATATAACGGTTTGCCGCAGGGATCAACATTGAGTCCACTTATATTTAATGTATACACAGCAGAGCTGCATAGTTTGATGGATGACAATATAAAAGTTATTCAGTACGCTGATGATATTTGTTTCTATACTATCCATAGTTTATATGAACGATGTATTACAGATTTAGAGTATATTTTTTGCTGCATGCGTGATTGGTTACATACTATGGGTTTTAGTGTTTCACAGAAAAAGACAGCAGTTATGTGTCTAGGCAGAGACTTAAAACACCCGATTTGTATACCATAGGTGATTTTACTATACCCATAGTAAAAGAATATATGGACCAGCCACATAAAACACGTAAAGCAAAAATGTGAGAAAGGGCTCAACATTCTGCGTGTAGTCTCGAAATATAAGTGGGGTGTAGATGTTAAAATATCCCTTACTTTTTATAAGTCATACATACGCTCAATAATGGATTATGGATGTACTATTTATGCCTCAACCAGCAAATCAAACTTATTAATCTTGGACAGAATTCAATATAAGGCAATTAAAATAAGTCTAGGAATTATGATGTCATCACCGAATTGTGCAGTTCTCGCTGAAGCACAAGAACCGCCTTTGTGCCTTCGAAGAGAGTACTTAGCTAATAAACATCTAATAAAGTATAGGACGTTTAGTACATTTATGGTCAAAAAAATATCAAATATAGCGGTCCAGAATCTTACAAACAAATATTGGAGAATTAAAACGTCTCCCCCGCTTGCTGATGCTTTTATTAACACTGAGAGACATAAAGAACTAATACATAGTCAAAAAAAATATCCTATTTACAAAATAGATTTTGTAGCCTTAATATTTAAACCAACCATTATAATTCCAAACTATCCAGATAATATATTTCTATCAAAATTAATTTTCAAATCTATACTCTGTAATTTAGGAGAGAATAAAATCATCATCTATACGGATGGATAAAAAAAAAAAGATTTAAAACAGGCTGTGCATTTTTAGTTTCTAATATTAACCATGTTGAGCAATATCAAGTGGGTCCCTAGACAAGAAACGAGTGGCCATGTTTTGTATCCTTATCCTATCCTTAATAATAATAATAATATTAATAATAAAAAATACAAATTTTTTGTGGCAAATAGACAAGTTCTGATGCCATCCACTATCTACACACACACATATTTTATAATCTGTAAAACTAGTTTCTAAACCATAAGTATAAGTAGCTCTGACGAGACCTAGTAGATGGCAGCAGCCCAACATTGAAATTAAATCTCAAACGTCTTTCTGCATTAAAAACTTAATTTGCGATCTATTTTCCCTATTTCCCTATTTTATTCCCTCTTTATGCGACACTTGCTAGAAAAATAGTGGTATTTGGCCATGTACATGAACAAGTTCCCAATATCCTCACTGCTAGTTTCTGGGGTACCATTCTGCAATTTGGGGTAATTCTTTCGTTTTCATAAAAGTTTAATAATTGCCTAGTAGACCAATTCATCTTTACACAAACGAGTAATTTTCAGTTGCAGTGTGTTATAGAATTGATGTGGAGTAACTACTTGGTGCGCTACGTGCCTTTTTCGAATGGTCTACCTATTGCACACGGCATGTATAAGACAAGTAGCATACCTATTTTCATGTCTTCTTCGTACATACTACTACTTGCCGCGTACGCACGCACGCCTAGTACTAAACCTATCCTCAGGAGGCATGCATGCCCAAAGAACATTCGGCTAGAGACAAATCTTCCGAATCTCAATGTTTCCTATAATATATATATATATATATATATATATATATATATATATATATATATATATATATAATATATAGGAAATATAGCTGCTCCACCATCTCCACCCGTACCTTTATACCGTGTGAGGGACTACTACCATCGTAGACAATATAAAATATGTAAATGTTCTGTGTAATAGTACATTCATTTGACGTCTTATTCGCGCTATATACCAGAGCGTGGGGCGCTAAATCTCCTTGTCGTTATTGTTTGTTATCTTGTGTTGCGTACTCAGACGCCAAGTCCTTGGAGGAATGGACGGGCTGATTGTGAAACTCGGCGCTAAGTGAGTGTATGTGTTGACTCCTGTTTAGGATTTTATCGGTAAAATTGCTACGGTGGTTAATGTCACTTTTGTTAGATTGTTAATTTTGTTAGGATTTTTAAAGCCCTAAATAGGATTAAAAAGATCCTAAACAGAGACTAAATAGCAAGGCATGTTTTAACCCCATATTTTAATAAAGATTCTTTTCCCAAATCCTATAAATTTATATAGATTTTAAATTTTTTGGTGTTCAATACAGTTTTTAATAATTTTTATAATTTTTTTAAGAGTTGGGGTAAATGGGATCTGTCTGTAGTGATGTGGGAAAAGTGGCGGTCGACTTTTTAATAGAGCCAATTAGTATTCTATCTAGATTTAGTAATTTATCCAAGAGTTGTCTTCTGTGCTTACACCAATGGTAAACATCGTACCATACTATCTCTCACGTGATGTGGCTTGGACGAATTTCTGACTCGGAGAACTTCTCAAGTGCTTTTTTTTCTCTAGTATCTAAAACTCTGAATTTCCCTTAGTATTCTATTGTAAGTTGCTTCAATTTTTACTTACATATTTTCTCTTGGACTATATTTGCTCTTAGTACGGTGGCTTATACGTAGGATGTAAATGTTAGTCCGTTATCATTAATCATTAGTCATTGTCTCATTATTCCATTCTATGGGTATATCTCTCTCTACTTTTATTGAACATTACTGCTTGGATTTTCTCTGGATTTACAGTGTTTTCTCGTTGTATCCAACAGACTTCTAGTTCGTCAAGTAATTTGCTTTCTGTATTTGGCCGCAGTTAATGTGCTATCTGTATACAGGCTGATTAGAGTTCCTGGTGTTCATCGGCCATATTATACAGTATTAGTAACAATACCACTTCCTATGGTACTTCAGCCTACGGAATTCTGACTTCTAATAGGACTTGCCCTAACTGATTTCGCTATGGCAGTACTATATCCATAATTTTTCATTTTGTATGGCAGTCCTTCATGTAATATTCAGTCAAAAGCTTTGCTTATTTTCAGGCTTGTTATTTTGGTTGGCTGCTATGTACTCCGTTTATCGGAGTACCTGATGCTCAGTATTCAGCCCTGAATCCAAATTGTGTGGAGGATTACTCCTAATCGTATTGTTTCTGTGTGTAGTTTTGCGAAAATTATTTTTTCTATTTTGGTGACTGCTAGAAGTAAGCTTTAGAAAAAGAACTATTGAGAACAGTCAAAAGAAGAAAAACCAGTTATTTAGGGCATTTGTTGCGTAACGAGAAATACTACATCCCTCAGTTGATAATAAAAGGCAAAATAGAAGGAAAGCGAGGAATTGGAAGAAAAAAATTGTCCTGGTTACGTAATATCAGAAACTGGACAGGACTCTTATTTGAGGAACTCTTAAGAGCAGCTGAAGATAGACAAACGTTTGCCACCATAACCGCTAACCTCCATTGATGGAGACGGCACTTGAAGAAGAAGAAGAAGTAAGCTTATTGGCTTGTAATTTTGTGGAAAAGTACCCTTTTTACTCTTGTGGATGTGGGTGTTGTTACTGTCTTCTGGTTTTCGAGCGTTTTATTGCAGGTTTTGTCTACTTCTTAGACAAAGTCAATATCTTCCAGTTGGTGGTAATTTAGGGTGCACTCTCTTTTGGGAGTTCTAGACTATACCGTTGCCTCTTTGAAATGGAGGAATTGGTTTCTTGTCTTGTCTTGACTTAGGATCTTTTCAAGTTTTATTGGCTTAATTATTTGGGCCTTGTTCTATTTTTTAATGCGTCCTTTCTAAGTCTGATGTCTGTAGTTTTGGAGGTTCTGTTTGACTTGTCGGTTTAGTAAATTTGTTTTATTTTTATCTTTTCGATTTCAAGTGCCGTGTAATGAGGAGCCGCATTTCTATAGCAAGTTATGAATCATTCATGTAACTATAAATATGCTATTTATGTACACTGGTGTACAATAAAAATTACGAACGCTTGCAGAGATGTAGCAGTTGCTTACTGGAATGACTAATTATCACATTGTTTAATTAACTTTATAAACGATTGCATTTAAATGGCACCAAATATTTCTTCCAGGTAACGTTACTACTGCAAACTTACCATATTAGGCCGTGGTTGGGATCATGACTCGAACTTGTTAATCGAAGTAGTAATATATTTACCTGTGTTTTAATAACAGTTGAACAAAAAAGTAATATTTTCTGCTATAGAATAAGTAAAATAATTTTTTATGAATAGCCCTTTATACATGCACTGGTTAAACAAAATGTAACACTTCTTACCAGGTAATATATAAAACTGAGGTTAACAGAAGCGTTTATAGCTATTACAGAATCTTTTTCAAATGCTTTTAACGTTTCAATAGCTTCAGCCAGTTGTTTTTGCTTTAAGAACATCACAGCTTTGTTGATTTCAAGGTCTAGAGCTAGACGAGCATATTCCGAGATCTTTATGGCTGACACACACCAGTCATATCCTAAAAGAAAATAAATTAAGCACGCTCATATGTTACGAAATTTTTCTCACAAATTGTACAATAAATATTTATCTTTGCGATGGTGTCATAAAGAATGAATATGTGGTAAATATGGGAAGGTAGTTCTAAGAATTAACCACATATGTAAATACTAGTATTCCATGAAGGGAAAAATTATGTTACAAAATAAAACAAACAATAATTTGGTATAAAAAATATGAATAGACAATATAGAGAGACTCATCATTCAAGGGAAGGTAGAAGGCCGAAGACCACGGGGAAAATCTCCAACGAGATGAATTGACTAGATCACAGGAAATTGCAAAAAAACTACGCAGGTAATAGAAATATCTAGAGACAGAAGTCTATGGAGACGGACCATACACCTCCCTTTAGCGGCTCAAGAGAGACTTAAGAGAGGAGATACTTAAGAAAGAGAGAGACTTGACAGAGAGAGAAACTTAAGAGAGACTTGAGAGAGATACTTAAGAGAGAGACTTGAGAGGAAGAGACACTTGAGAGAGATACTTGAGAGAGAGACTTGACTTGAGAGAGAGAGACTTGAGAGAGAGACAACAGAGAGAGAACGAGAGATAGAGAGGGAGGGGGAGAGATGTTCAAATAAGAAAGAATTTTCAAATTGAAATGGTGTGCAAAGTATTTATGTCCAGATATGCTATTCAATTTATGCTACATATACATAGTAAATGTATGCATACATGTCACTCATGATTATTACGTTGTATGTTGAATAAAGAAAAATGAAATTAGCTAAATTTACTAGTCATTCCGATTTAAATTTTTGTGTGAAAGTTGGTTAAATAAATTTAGAGTTTTTTTTATTAGTTATATGATTGAGAATGAGTTGCAATTACAAAATTAAAACACATCACATATGTAAAAGCCTTTAGCGGGAGTCATCTTTTATCCATTATTTGAATGTGTTCATTCCAATTTTTTCTGTATTGGTATATTTTCTTATATTGAACCACCATCTAAATATTCGATAGGCTAGATACTTTTAAAGTGCCAGCTGCTTCAAAAAAGCCAGAATCCCCCAAAGTCGTCACTTCCAAATACAAGAACTTCCCCTGAGAAGTAAGCCAGCTTCACCTTCTTGTCCAACTTGTCGCTCATATTGATCAGTCCAAGTAAATCCTTCTCCGGCGCTCACAGAGTCTCCTAGGACTATATGAGCCCACCCTTTTCACTTCATGAATTTAAATTGCAGTTTTTTCTACAATCTTCTATTTTATTTTACCTCAAGAACAAAAGTTTGTCATAACCAAAGCATTATGCGACCAAGCGACTGCTGTAAATACAAAGTGTGCCACTTTTTTTCTGCCATGTGCCGTCGAAGTGAATGGGTGGTTACGTCTTTAGTCTGACCTTCAGTTAGTTGCGACGTCGTTTAGTACGGTAGACTCCTTGGAAATGAAGAGATCCTCGCAGTATGCGAAGATCATCAAAACTTTCTATTAACATGCGGTAGTATGATAAAAATCTCAATATATCATACGTGAAATAGTCAGGCCACAGTATAAAGAGGTTCCACACTTCATAATAACTTCATAAGAAACAAATTTGTTATTGATGATATTATCGTTTCTTGGGAATATATTAAAAAATTTTACGAACATGATAAACAATATCCTATACGTACAGCGCCAAAATTGACCGAATTACATATATATCTCCTAACAATTTTGAAAATATGAAAGTGAAATATGCTTCTCAGATATTTAGTAACACTGTTGCTGCCGGTCTGCATCTGTATATTAGATTTATTGTATTCGTCGAGGAAGCAACAACAACCGAAAGATTTATTAGGAACATTAATAATTTATTTGATATACTCAATTCTTCTTCATTAAGAGGAGCAACTGAGTACCAAAGACTGTATAGAGGAACCGATGCTTAGCAAGAATTTCTTAATGCGTGTTTCTGTTTTTGTAATTGTTTAATAATTTACAGGTAAATAATTTTAAAGCTAAAAATGTAACACCAAGAATAAAATATGTTAATGGTTGGAAAATAACCATTAATGGAGTGATTCATTTGTGGAATCTACTACAGTCACATGGAATGGATTATTTTTTAACAAGGCGGATGAATCAAGATTGTCTAGAAACCTTTTTTGGTTCAATCAGGCAGCAAGGTGGCAATTGTGTTAACCCTACTCCGGTATAATTTACCGCAGCATTCAAAAGATATTTTTGTTTAGACATAATGCATTCCGGTACAGAAAATTGCGAAAGAGATGCAGGCCATATTTTGTTAAATTTAACCGATATATGTACCGACGATTATCTGCCTGAAACCACTGCTTTGGTTCCTGAAAACAATTTGGATGACCAAAAATATCAAACTTCAAATAAATTACAGAAAAACTTCACAAGATATATATGTATATGTGATATATATATATATATATATATATATATATATATATATATATATATTCACAAGTCTTAGGAAACATGTTTGTCTAATCTGTGAAGCATATGGGAGAGAGTACGATGAACTACACGATTCGTCTCTGTTTTGTTACGTTAAAGCCTACAGTGGTAATGAAACAAACGTTTTTGGCAAGCTCTATATGCCGAGCCAAAATTTTGTGCAGTATGTTACAGATTTGGAAATTATTTTTCAAGAGAATTTTCAAAATTTTAGTCATCAACCGAAAATCTTACATAACTACGTTAGCTTATTCGAAAAAATACCATATACGCATCCTTGCAGCAATTTTCCAAAGGGTTATCTCATTAGATTATAGGCTAGAATAAGAATATATTACACATTGAAAATAATTAATAGAAATTTTAAAAAGACAAAAGGACATAGGAAATAAATAATTTGGAAACATAATTAGCTTTAAAACGTGTTGTTTGTTTGGGTTTATATAACTGCGGACACTAAATACATTCGCAAATTTTAATTTTTGTTTTTACTTATAAGTCATGTTTTGTATACAATTTTATGCGTAAACTAATACTAAGATTAATTTGTAATAAATAATCCTTTTTATATTTTTTGATAATTTAGTTAGTTAAATAATTCATAATTTAGTTTTATAATGTATATTTTTGATAATTACTTCTTCTATAATATAATAAATTCTTATGCAGCTCTATATTTATTTCAAGAGCTAATTTGCCATATATTGGCCAAGTTCCTCATTTTTTTAGGAGGAGAATAGGAATCACCCGGTACTCTCTCCAACTATCTGAAATATCTTCTGATTTGATTTGTTCTTGATTTAAAAAAATTTAATAGTGTTCTTTTTCTATTTTAATATAAATTTTTCAATATAATATAACGTAGAAATATTCCTATTCCCGGCGAAGTATTTTTCTTATTCTTCAGACTGATTTCTAATTTATACAACCTAAATGTTACTGAAAGTGGATAATATTGTGTAATAGATAACACTGGACATAATTTTCTTAAAAACGCATGAACTCATTCTCCTTTGATCACTGTATTTACTTATAGTTTAAAAATGGATTTGACTAGACTATCTCTGGCAGACATCCTGACAATGCAGATGCTTTGTTGATCTGACGCCTCACGTCCTTACTAGGACACAATTTAACTTGAAAAAAATAATTTTATTACCGTTTCGACTTCCAATTCGGACGTCGTTGTCAAAATACAAAATAATAATTTATTTTTGTATTTTGACAACGACGTCTGACTTGGAAGACGAAACGTTAATAAAATTATTTTTTCAAGTTAAATTGTAACTTATTTCCGAATTAGAATAGTTGATATTCGTTTATTTTATTAAAAAATTGTTGAAATTGTTCAAAATAAGAAAGACGAAGAGAATTTTTTTTATTTAAATTTGTGGCTAAAAATCACCACAAAACATCTTTTCAGCACTTTGAATTTTAATTGATGTATTCTTGCACATTACGCTTTTGATTTGACGAAAAGACTATTGCAAAATTTAATAAATTTTTTGCAGACTACAACTAAAACTAAACGAATAATGCAGAAAACACAAAAAATCGCCGATATAACCAAATTCATCTACGAAATGTTAATAAGGACAACATTTCATAAATGTCAAAATTTCATAACAGTGGAGTAAACTTGCCTGCCGTTGGACGAATTATAAACAAGCGTTATGACGCGGTAAACTTGAATTACTCCTCCTGGTTTAAAAACAGAGTATAGTAATGCCGATGCCGTGAGAGCTTCGAAATTAACCTCCTTTTTACTTAACGTTTATATGACATGTACAATATATTAAAAATCATTGAGATTTTAAAACTTGCGCAATACCATTGATATTTAAAATACCGTTGAAAAATATAAACAATGAATTATAATATTGTTTTTAATTTATTAAACCCTTTGTTTTTGTAATATTAACATTTAGTGAGAACATCTGGACAGTTAAATATGGGAAGCCGCATTTTTTATTTAAATAAATTAATAGTAGTAGGCTCAGAAAATTTAATTACGGCTCTGTAAGGTTAACGGTGGTGGATTACCAATTTCGTACTTTGGATTACTTCCTGAGATCAAAGTGCCGACAGACGAGTAGTTTTACTGTGGAACCTCTTTATACTGTGGTCAGGCGCTCGTTTATTATATTTATTGCTGCACTCAGCGTAACCTTCGCTCGTTTGTTACGTGCCTTGGAGAAGTACACAATTTTAAAATCTCCTAGGCACTCCACGGTTAAATTTGACCATAGCTGATGAGAAATAGTTTATATTTAGTTCATAATAAAAAAAATTGGTTGATTATTTTCTAAAAAGCTATTCATTCATTTAGTAAAAATATACTCTGTTATTTCGAATATAGCAATGTACTTAAACCCATGTTTTACGAAAATATTAACCTTTGTTACTTCAAAAATGACTGACAACTTGCATGGCTGCTGTTAAAATTACCTTTTCCAAATGTCTCTTCAATAAAAGGAGCTATTAGCTTGGCTGCTGTTAGTATGCAGTATTCAGCTTCTCTGCGTTTCTGTGTTTCATATCTATGAAGATCATCATCTTGAATGGCTAAAGCGATCAAAGCATCTTCTGGCGAATCCTAAAATCACAAGATTTTACTGTACGTAGATTTTAATATAATATATATTATTTGTTATATGTTTTATATGAGATCACAAAGACACGTTTCTCTGTTTCATCGACTAAGAAAAAGAGCTCGATGGAGTAAAATATTCAGTACTCATAGAATCCCTAACACTAACACAATATGGTACAGACCACAACCATACAAACATGTATTGGGATCAAATAATGTCGATCAAAATAGACGACCGCCTGACAACAGATATGTCAATAAAAAGAGGAGTTCGTAAAGGCTGTGTACTTTCTTCACTAATATTTAATATATACTCTGAATAGATCGTTCAAAATATTTAAAAAATACAGGAGCGATTAATCACATAGACCTGATCCGTCAACTGCACATGTTGAGCGGGATCTTGTCTTGTCGAAGGTTTGTATTTATATTTCTATTGTACTTTGTACTTTGATATTTGATATTATGTTTGCATGTATATAAAATCACATCATAGAAAATGGTTTTGAATAGTTATCTATTTACGTAGTTAGTAAATATGTCAGTTTACTGTTTTGAATGTAGTAAAACTTTCTCAAATCAGTCTAACCTGAATAAACATATAAAGAATATTCATCTTCTTTTTCTTCTTAGCCTTCTGTCGTCCATGTTTGGACATAGGCCTCTCCCAACTTCTTCCATCGGTCTCTATCCTGAGCAACATATTTCCAATTTGTTCCGGCTATTCTTTTAATGTCATCAACTCATCTCATCTGTGATCTTCCTCTTGGTCGTTTACTTTCGTAAGGTCTCCAATGTTGTATTGTAGCATTCCAACGTTGGTCTTTGTCTCTAGCAGTGTGGCCCGCGAAGCTCCATTTAAGTTTTGCAATTTTTTTTATAGCCAAGAATATTCATGACATAGTTTATACACCAATACACTATGAGAAAAACGTGCATTTAAATAAGTTGTAAGACATCTCTTCGATTCATTAGCAATTTAAGATTACATTTAGACCAAGAACATCACCTTCGTATTGAAACTGTGACCAAAGCACTGTTTACAAAGTTGTATAAGAGATAGGACACTTAAAAGAATTATAAAAATTTATTTTTATGCAGTGATGATGCACTTTATTATTTTAAAGTGCATCATCACTGCAGTATGATAAATGCTAGATACATAGCTGCATTAACATCATCATCATCATCATCTTTAGCTCGACATTCCTCTGTGGATCTTGGCCTGCTCTAAGATTCGTCGCCATTCTGTTCGGTTTTTGGCAACATGTTGCCATCTTCTGATTTTTAATATTCGTAAGTCGGTTTCAACTCCATCTAACCACCTAATTCGCGGTCGGTCCTTGCTTCTTTTTCCTACAGGTGTTCCTGTGGTTAGCTTTTTAGCAATCGTATTTTCTGGCATTCGTATTATGTGTCCAGCCCATCTAAGGCGCTGTGTTTTAATGAACGTTATGACATCTGGCTAATCAAAGAGCTGATACAATTCAAAATTATATCTTTTTATTTTACGCTCAAATATTCCCAAAAGTCTTTTATCTTTCTGCGTTAGAGTCCATTTTTCTGCTCCATATGTGAGGACCGGCCTCAGTAATGTTTTGTATATAATAATTTTAGTTCTTCTTTGAATGTTTCTTGAGTGGAAATGCTTTTTGAGTCCATAGTATGCCCTATTTGTAAGATTTATTCGTCTTTTGATTTCTTCGCTTGTTTTATTGGTAGCAGTCAATAGCGACTCAAGGTATGTGAAGTTGTCAACACGTTTAAAGGTATGACTTCCAAAGGCTGTTTCTTGTTCCTCATTTGCTATCGGATCCTTTGTAACCAACATGTACTTAGTTTTGTCTTCGTTGATGACTAGACCGACCTGTTTCGCCGCTGTTTCCAATTCTAGGAGATATTGCTCAACATCTCGCTTGCTACGCCCTACTATGTCAATGTCATCAGCATATGCAAAGAATTGTATCGATCTATTGTAAATAGTACCGCCATCCCTAATTCGTGTATCTCGGACTGCCTTTTCTAAGGCAATATTAAATAGGAGGCAAGCCAGAGCATCCCCTTGTCTGAGTCCATCCTTCATCTCAAAGGATCTCGAACTCTCTCCCTGTATTCTAACAGTGGCTTCTAAGTTAGACATTGTCATTCTCGTTAGTCGGATAAGTTTCTCTGGTATACCAAACTCATGCATTGATTGGTATAGCACTGTTCTCTTGACACTGTCGTATGCGGCCTTGAAGTCGACGAATAGGTGATGGGTTTCAATACTGAATTCTAATGTTTTCTCGAGAATCTGTCTTATTGAATGAATCTGGTCAATTGTTGATTTTTCTGGAGTGAATCCAGCTTGATATTTACCAACTATGCCCACTGTGTAAACTTGCAGCCTTTCGTAGAGAATATTTGCTAGTATTTTGTAAGCAGTTGTTAACAGGGTCATACCTCTATAGTTGTCACACTGGAGCTGGTCACCTTTTTTATGTAACGGGCATTACACGCCTTGAGACCATTCACAAGGCATGGTCTCATTATGCCAAACAAGAAAGCTTATGCAGTGTCTGTAGTAGGGCATCGCCACCATTCTTGTAGAGCTCACTGCAAATTTGATCAACTCCTAGTGATTTATTATTTTTAAGCTTTTTAATGGCTTGGGCAACATTTTCGATGGTAGGCGGTCTTTCGTTTGGGTTGAAAGGAATCCAATCATTTCGATTTGCTAGGGTGTTATCTGCTTCTTCCATATAATGCCATTAAATTTTACATCGAAAAATTCAACCCATCTGTTTAGGATTGAGGCCGTGTCATTTAGGATGTTTCCTTCTACATACTTACAGCTCCTTATTCTTGGCTTAAACTCTTTGCGCAGTTTGTTTAGATTTCTGTAGAACTTTCGAGTTTCATTTTGATTTCTTAGCCATTCTGTGCTTTCCAACTGCTTTTGCTCAAATTGTCTTTTTTTCTTCTATGTAATCGTTTTTCTTTTCTTTTTCTGCATTAACATTGGATGTAAAAAATGTAGAAGTATTAGGAAATGGAGAAAAAAAACAGTTATTACATAAAAACTGCTGATGATTTTCATATAATTAGTAAAAAGTAATTCTACAAATGTTGTCAGCTGATGTGCACTTTTTTAACATATTTGCATACATATGCATAAGTGTCCCTGCATAGACTATGCAATAAAATTACATTTTGTTTGTTTAAACTTCAAGAGATCAGAAGTGTAAGCGAACAGACATGTACAAACATTGAACACCCAAATATTGAGACTTTTATGACTATTATAATTTATTTTTAAAGAGCACAAAATATTATTAACTATTAAACAATTTTGCTCCACAGCTACGCTAAAAAACGATAATTTCATTTTTTTCCTTCTGCCACCATAAAGTTTATTTTTAAAGATTGCATTTGCGCAGTAGACGGATTGTGTCCCTGCAATTAATCGCTCCTGAAAATACTCAAGAAGGAATAAAAAACAACCAAGAATACGTAGACAAGATACTCAGACACACCGTCATTATTGCGGACAGTTCTGAATGTCACAACGAGGGAAGAAGATACGTTACCACTCAGAATAAATACAAATAAAACAAAAGTAATGGCTATTACAAGTACACTAGATGCCGACATTAATATTCGTATCTATAATAAACACCTAGAACCAGTATAAAGATTTCACTATCTTGGTTGCTGCATGTTTGTATTTCAAACACGAAATACAAGCTCTTATAGATTATGCCAGGTCCGCTTTTCAATGAATGAACAAATTCTTAATAAACTCTACCTTATAATTAGATGTCTGATATCGATTTTTAAAGCCATCCATTTATTCCATAATTTTATGTGAAGTTAAATCGAAATATTGGTGTTGATAAAAGGGGTTTTGTATAGACTGCACCGTATAAATCCTTAGGATATGAAATTCGGTTCGGTAGAGATAACCAGACATGTGAGCTTCCACGGTGTATTACCTGTACTCACTTATGAAGCGGAAACATTAACACTCACTAAAAAAGTAGTGGCATCTGGCATCAAGTGGCAAGAATAAAGGTTGAACAAGAACTGTCGGATGAAATAAATATAAAAAGAGGAGTGAGACAAGGTTGTATATTGTCGCCTTTACTTTGTAACTTATATTCGGAGGAAATATTTAAGGAAGCCTTAATGGAGACAACCGAAGGTATTATTGTGAATGGAGTAACCGTCAACAATATTAGATATGCCGACGATACCTTAGTCCTTGCCAATTGCGGAGAAGACCTTCAAAATCTAATGAACAAAATAAAACAGACTTGTGATCAGTATGGATTAAAACTCAACGTTAAGAAAACTAAATATATGATAGTTAGCAAACAAAATTATATACATGATGACGGTATAAAAGTCGGAGATGCCACACTGGACAGAGTAGAGAAACTCGTGTATCTCGGCAGTAATATCAATGAGAGTTGGGATCCAACCGCAGAAATTAAAAGCCGAATAGAACAAGCCCGAGCTGCCTTTGTAAAAATGAGAAACGTACTTTGCAGTCATGATCTTAGCATTGACCTTAGAATTCGTATGATATCTTGCTACATCTTTCCTGTCCTGCTGTATGGAGTAGAAGCGTGGACCCTAACTGAGGCTATGCTTAAACGCTTGACAGCCTTTGAGATGTGGGTATACAGACGACTACTGAAAATAAGCTGGGTCGACAGAGTTAGAAATGAGGAGGTCCTTAGACGGCTGAACCAAACAACACAACTGGTCAATATAATAAAGAAACGCAAGCTGGAATACTTCGGTCATATTATGAGACACCCTGAAAAATATGATCTTTTACATCTGATCATTCAGGGAAAGATCCAAGGTAATCGTGGTCCTGGTAGAAGAAGAACATCATGGCTGAAAAATTTAAGGCAATGGTATGGAAAATCAACTACATCGTTATTTAGAGCTGCTGTCAATAAAGTCACGATAGCGAATATGGTAGGGCAACATGATATCCAACGATCGATAACGGTCATGGAACTAGAAGAAGAAGAAAAAAGTAGTGAATAAAATTCGCGTGACTCAGAGGACTATGGAGCGCCATATGTTGGGCGTCTCATTGAGAGACCGAAACCCAAACGAAGAAATACGTCATAGTACAAAAACAACAAAAACTATCGAAAAAATTACGTTGCTAAAGTGGAATTCGGCAGAACATGTTCGCCAGGTTATCAGGCAACCGATGAACAAAACGTATTGTCAAGTGGACATCAAGGCAAGAAGCACTACTGAGCAGAGAACGCCAACCAAACAGATGGACTGACGACCTGAAGCGTTTTAGCGGTAGTTGGATATCAGCTTAACAAGACAGAGACAGATGAAAAGAGCTGGAAAGACCTATGTCTAGAAGTGAACGAATACAGGTTGATGAGAATAATGATATGAGATTTGCGTTTTTCGAAGGATGTTAAAGATCTCTTGGACAGAGCATGTAACCAACAATGAGATTGTACTAAGGTTTTAACCCATAAGCATTAAATGCAAAAAGACTTAAAATGTAATAATAAGTCAATATTCAAATGATTTATAATCGAAGACAAATTGAATCGAACAAATTTACAGAGAACGAGTGACATTGAAAAACATACACTTGTTTGTAGATATATAGTATTTCTCAAAGTTAGCGTAGGTGAACCCTAGGTGAACCCTAGGTGTACCCTGATGAACCCTTAACCTACATTCTTAATATACCAGAAGATGTTGATAAGGGTAGGGACTGAGAGAGAACTCCTAAACATTGTAAAAACAGAAGACGAGTTATCTAGAAGATATTTACAGAGAGAAAAAATATTACTTCCTACGACTCATAATGGAAGGAAAAGTGGAAGGAAAAAGAGGTCCAGGAAGAAGAAAACGCTGAAGCATGTAAGCGACTGGACAGACACGGACACCCATTCATCATTAAAAATAACTCAATTTTGAGAGAAATTTCGAGAGACATTTGCTGTAATTATAGCCAATTTTTAATAATGGAGAAGGATTCTTCAGAATGAAGAAAATATAGTGTATTAAATTTTGGGATATTTGAGATATATAAGAAAGCGAACCTGGAGCTTGACTTTAAAAAAGAAATTATTATAGTATACACTAAATAATATCAAATTCTAAATATTTTACCTGTTCTAGATTATACTTGTCCTCATCTTCAATATTCAAGGGTACAGAGAGCAAAAGTGAAAAAGAAGAACGCATTCTTTCTTTGTCTTCTAAAGCTCTGGAACATACTACCAGATGTAAACCTGCTCTGTGGCATGCTTGCTCACTCATTATGTATTCCAAACTACCAATAGCTTCTTCCCATTGCCCCATTCTGATAAAAACCATCGCAATGTTGTGCATAATTCGAATCCTAATGGATAAAATACACAGATGAATTTCATTTTTGCAAGTTTGCAATATAAAAAAACATAATTTTTCTTTACTAAATTTAATGCGGTACGTGTAACCCAAAATAGAGATTCATGTAAAGACACAGCGTAAATGGAGCAATATGATCCGTGCAATTAATCATTTATAAAAATATAAATTTTATTAATACGTATTTACCAATACGATATTTGATTTTTTTAGTTTCCCAGACCTCGATTTAAAAAAAAAAACATCAAAATTGGATGAATAGAAGCGAAGATAATTGAAACTTTTAAGTGCGATGCCATTTTAAACACGTAAAATCAATTACGATTTCGCCTCGACGGCCGCTCTCACTCTTACCCCCACCACTACTTCTTGTCAATTTTTTGATGGATGGACTGTTTTTAATTGACATTTTAACCCACCTGTAGTGGTCTGTAACTTATGTTAATTTGTACCCAATTAGTGCTTCAGATAATAAACACTAATTGGGTACAATCTATTTTTTAAATTAAAAACAGATCTTAGAAGCTTATACTTTTATTGTAAATTGCAGTCAACCTTGACCGATCATGACTCCGGAAATAACAGACCGATCATCTTTTTTTTTTTAAACGTATTTTTGAAGCACTTTTAATATCCGTGTTTACATCGATCAATAATTGATGAAGTTATTCAAGTTGTTTATAAGCCAGAAATTTAAATATTTTTTTAATTCCCTAGGCTCTTCTACTAGTCGGATTTTAATTTTTCAAAATGAGCTTGAAAGCTGAATGTGTTTCTAAATGTAAAAAAAATTTAAAAGTATTTAGAAGTCTTAATTTTCGACCCACAAAATTTGAAAAATTATTCATTTTTTATAATTTAAATTGCAATTTTTTAAAAACTATTGAATCGATTTTAGTTTTGTTCCTTGGAATATACAGGTCGTACGTTTGATTTTAGTATGGGAAATAAACTCATAAAAAACCTTTTTTTAACTGTTTTATGTGTGCTTTTTAGTATTTTTTCAATTAAAATAATAACAAACATGTTCTAAAACCAATAGTTCTTGAGATATATGTGAGAAAAGAAAAATATAGAAATTTTTGAATTGTTTCATATTTTGTTTAATAAGTTTTAATAACTTTGTTTCAAAGTTAAGTCCATATTTTACAACTCACTCATACTGAAATTATCATTTGTAGTGATATTTTGGAGCGATTTATGTAAAAATGCGTTTATATGCTTCACACTTATAAATAAGTAATTTAAACAGATAATACCTAGACTAAACAAAAATAAACTTGGTTCCTTTGAATATACTAATGTATTAGATTTTATAATACTCTACCTAAGATGTTTTTGGGTAGACGGTACTTGATCTAAAGCCATACGAAACATTTTCACTGCCAATTGATACTGTCCCTGTTTAAAATAAATATTACCCATGTTGACTTTCAATCTATAAGCATTTGCAAACATTCGGTTTTTTGTTATCATTTGGTACGTGTTTATGGCTTCAGTGTAGAGTTCATTAGCGGCATACTGGTTGGCTAATGTAAATAAAACCTGAAAATAAGAGATAACCTATAAGAGATTTTATATATTCTTAGTTATAGACATATAATACAAATAGACTGATTGCTTCAATACAGTCGCGTTCCCACAGTGCGACAGAGAAAACTGACGCAAAACAGTCCCTGCATCTCTTTCTAATTTGCCAGGTTTATCGACCACGTGACCTAAGTGACCAATAAGACGGCCACGTGGTCGATAAACCCGGCCCATTAGAAAGATATGCAGAGGCTGTTTGCGTCAGTTTTCTCTGTTGCACTGGGGGAACGGGCCGGTATTGCAACGATCAGTCTGTCTTGTATTATATGTCTATGTTCATAATAAACTAGTGAACCTAAAAAATCTAATAAATTGATATAAACTGGAAAAAGTAGTAGTTGATAGGTGACAAAGAAAACAAAGAAGATTAAAAATATATTTCCTTGCGTACTTAACCATTTCATGAACTATCAAATACATGCCGATGAACATTATTAAATGACTGATACAAGAGATTTTAGCTGTATAACACAAGAAAATAGCAAAAAAAGTAACTATGTACTTTCTTAAAACCAATACAATATTTAGTTTGATGTGAAGTCAGAGATTAAGTTAGGGAACTTGAAATGAGATTTTTGAATTGCTAGAAGTAGTAGAAGTAGTAATAGATATGGTCATCGCTAATACATTACTTTGAACTAGAGAAAGTTAACCTACAGTATTGTGCGAATTAATGGAAACATTGTGACATTTTTTAATATTTACAGTTGGCAACACTGTCCACATATTTACTGACATAATATACATAACACATAGATATAACAACTGACCAAGCATTGAAAACATAACCTTACTTTTCTCTGCCGTTTATTTGAGGGTATTTCAGGACACTAAGTTTTTGTTATTTTGTACTATTTTGGGTTGTTTTCTAATTGGTGTTTGTGTTGTGTTGTTGTGTTGTGTTGTTTGATGCTAATTTAACAGCAACGTTGCTGTTACATTAGTTGCTGTTACCAGTTGTTTTTTGACAATTGGTTCACCAGCATACCTCTTATAATATATCTGACCAAAACGGGCATTTTACCTTTGGGAACAGTAAGACTAAATCATGTTCCTGGAGTTGTGATGCCAACTGAGAAAGAAATGAAAAAGCGCGTTAGAGGTCATATGGTAGAGAAAATAGTCAATATAGACAATGTGGATGTCAGTGTAGTGTCCTGGTTTGATGATAAAATCGTTACTACAATGTATATATGCTGGAAGTAAACCCAAGGGAGAAAAAAGATGATTTTTCATACAAGAACGTACACATTAAATGATAATTTGTCCTAACAGTCTCCGTATCTACAACAACTACATGAGAAGCGTAGATCTCCTAGATTCCATGTTAGGATTTTATCGTATAAAAATCAGGTCGGAAAAATATTATTTACGAATATTTTTTTATTTCATTAATATGACAAACGTGAACTGTTGGTTATTAGCCGGAATAGTGAAGAATTTTGATTGATCCTTTTTGGATACCAAACTGGCAATAGCCGATGCTTTATACAAAGCAAAAAATTTAAGTAAACAGAACAGAGTAGGAAGACCGTCAGGTAGTAGCTTTCAGCAGATGTACGAGTATAAACGAAAAAAGGGACCCACTAAAGAAATATCCCAAGAAGACATCCGTAAACATGGGCTGATGTTCAAACTAGTTTAATTTTATTGTTGCATACTGTTTCATATTTTATACCAAAAATTTTTCCTCGTATCTATTTTTTTCAGTATTTTTACGTGAAAATATAATTAAAATTCTTATCCGAGAAAATATTTTTGACAACAATCAAAAATGCATGCGGTAAAGGGTTAGAAATGGATAATATATTACTCTAGAGGTGACAATCAATCGGTACTAAAATGTTCAGTTGCTTGGAGCATAAGCAAAATAATTATCACTGAATGTGAAGAATTGATAAGTTGCAAAAGTTTCTGGAAGGAATAGGAAAGGAAGAACAAAGAAAACCAGGTGAGTAGCTTATGCAGAACATGTCTGTGGTAGGAATAGATATTGGTACGACACAAGAACGAAACTTATGGAGAAATGTAGTTAGGGAAGCCTAACCTACATAAAGGCAAAGAGAATAATGATTAAAGTAGTAACATAAGTGTAGAGCATACTTTTTTCTTTTCGTTAATATTTTTTATTCATCCACTCCTGGATTGTTTCCAGTTTTCTCTGTTCTGCACCAATCTCATCTAGTGATGGTCCGCTACTGCTGTTAAATCGTCTACCTATCTCTGTTTAGATTACACAGGGCTTCTTTTCGTATTTTTTTACACTCTGACCACTTCATCCATGACGTCCCTGACTTTTGTTTTCAGCCTTACTTCGGTATTTCCAATCTTGACTCTTATAGATACTCCAAGAACATTTTACTTTAAGTGTCCTTTGTCTGTGTAGTTTTTTTTATAGACGTCACGGTAAGGGACATAGTTGCTAATCTATAGGTACATATAAAGCATCATACGAGTGTATATAATATATACTTTGCTCTTTAAGTTTATAGTAATACAGCTTTTTTTTAGGATGTATGCTAATTTACCGAAGGACATAACAATTAAAAACCTGTATTTAATAACTATCAAAATTTTTAAAATATATACGTACTGCATAAGTAAGATCTATATTATGATGATCTCCTAAACCAGATTGTTCCTGGAGTCGTATCAAATTCCTCTCTTTGTTTGAAGCTTCTTTTGCCTTGGTAAGGGCTTGTCTGAAGTCTCCTTCACTTTGAGCGATACACGCTTGCTCAACGAGCTGCATTATTTTGTATTCTTGCTGTCGAATTCTTTCTTCTGGCCTAAAATTATATCTACTGTAGTTTAAAAATTTTAAAAATACAGAAACTTAAAAATTGCTGTTAACGCTAAATGCTTAAGATTAGACAAGAAGTACTAAACATCCAGGAAGGTAATTACAAACGTAAAGAGCAGAAAACTCTCGCTTTACTATCATTAGGTAAATATTATATTTTAAAATATGTAATAAAGTACTGTAAGTAGATAGAAATTCGAATTAAAAAATAGAGAACTAAAATGCGAAGTAAAACTTCCGAAAGATGTCCGCGTTAGTACAATAAAACCTAAAGCTAAGATTAATACTATTACCATAATTAATATTAAACTCACCTAGCTTCTGGGTTCACTAGGACGGTTCATTTAAACCATCGATGGTGACGTGTTTTGGGTGAAGGTTGGCGTAAGGGTTATGGTGGGGGCTGGCGTGGGGTTGGTGCAGATTTCTGACGGCGGGATTTTGATTGGAAGGAGGAGCGGATGATATTTTCTTTATGAGAGGTCTCCATTTCTAAGGTTGCTGTCCGGATGCTGCCATCTCTTTGTCGCCATTTTATTGAGATAATTTGGTCTTTTTTCAATATCTATGGTTTTAAAGGTAATTCTTGGTTTATAGATGCGGATTGGGGCTATGGTTCTGGAGCTTTAAAAATCAATTTTGTGACCTATATGATGGTGTTGACCTAGAGCTAAAATTGAGTCGGAATTGTGAACAGAAATGGAATGTTTATAAGTCCTATTTTGGATTCTACGATTTGTTTGGCCTATATAAAATCGGGAGCAGTCTGCACAAGGAACTTCATAAACTTCGTATTGTTCATTTGGAATGTTGTCGTTGATTGATCGGACCAGCGATGAAAGTTTTACCGCCCAACAAAACCCAATCCCCGCCATTACACCACGCCAACCTCCAACCAAACAATGTCACCATAGACGGTACAAATTAACCATCTGCTTTTCACAGTAACAGTAATGCATTGATTAGTGATCAGGGTAGTAGTGTCTAGGGGCTTGGGATCTTGAGACCTCGGAAGCCCCGAAGAAGACAAGAGAGAGGAGAACGAAAGCTCGGAGCAGTGATAATCGACGAAGTTTAAATAGGAGCCGGTTGAGAAGTGGAGAACTGGTAGGATGCTCCAAATATTTTAGATTAATTGGACATTTTCAGATAATGATTTTGTCAAGTTTAACCATATATTGACCTAATTACTTACGAATCATCCTTTTGCAATTCCAAAGGTGGGGTTGGAACCGAAGCAGCTTGGTTCAGAGGGTCGAAAGGTTTCCCGTGGGACGTGTATCCAGCTCCTCTTACTGCTGTCATCGGTCTGTTTATAGTATCGATGCCAGTGCCAGGCCTGAATCCAGCCGTACCAGGTTTAAAACCGGTGCCAGGTTTGCCAAAGACATTTGATTTAAATCCGGTACCTGATCTATAACCCGTACCTGGCTTGTAAGGCGTTTTTGGGACTGCACTTGGTTGGCGATGAAACTTAAAAATTAATTTGTATAAAGATAAGATACATTTTTGTTTATATATTATATTTGTTTGTTTATATATTATATGTTTTATATAAGTGCAGATCCATTTAGATTAACGTCACAGTTGCCTGGTCCCAAGTCCAGGATGAGAAAGGAGAAGGGTTAAGTAAGGGCTTACTATTATTGTAAAAAAATAACCGATTATAAAAACGGACGGATCTTTTAAGACGAAAAAAGCGACGACAAATGAAAATGAATATAGAAACCAGGAACGTATTAAGCCTATTTTGACCGGGAGTGATCAGGTGGTCAAAGAACCTAAATCTAAAAATATAGTCATAACTGCTTCTCTAATAATTCTAAAACTCTCTAAACTCTAAAATTCTCTATAACTCTAATAATGATATAATAATAAATCTGTATTTTTAAGCGGAAGTAAACAGGAAGAAAACTGTTTTGGGGTCAGTCATAACCCTCAAATTCGTTAACGAAGGAATCTGTTATATCAAACTAAAAGGATAACTGTACAACTCCCCAATTGCTACCCATGCATCGATAGAGAAGAAGGAAGAGCAGGTAAAGGACAACTTCTTTGAGAAACTAGAGGAACTGACAATCTCCCTAAACAGGACATGCATATTATCTTAGATTTCAATGCAAAGATTGGGAAGAAAGCAGCATGCAGACCAACAATAGTCTCCATGATGTCAGTAACCATAATGGAACAAGGTTAATAGACTTTGCAACCTGCCACAACCTACTAATAAAATCAACAATGAATTAGCGAAGATGGGGCTTCGAATAAAGCAGACATATTTTCTACTTAGTATATTATTTGATTCATACAATAAAATATAAATGGTTTGAATCTAATTATTGAATAAAAATATCATGAATGAATGCATGGCATATTTGTGATAACTAAGTAAAGCAATAAAATAAGTTGAAAAGTAATGATATATTTTATTACCTCTGTGGCTGATGCCAAATGCATAACTGGTTTCGGCGTTGATAATCGAGACATATCTGGTATTCTAATTTTGTTAACATCATCTTTCAAATTTGACACATCCACTGAACTTTCAGGTCGAAATTCAGGTGTTTCCACAAGTGCAGCTGCCATATTTTAAAAATTTATTTAAAAATCCTTAAAATATATTAAATATGACTACCTACATTATTTGTTAACTGTACGAATACAAATATCGGTTTTAAAAGCTAATATAAGGAATGTTTTAGCAATATTTTAGTAAATGTTAGTTAATCATCATAATTATTTGGTTATATTTTTAGTATTTTATCAAGTAATGAATTGGTCTGCAAGATAAAACCGTTTGGCTTATGTTGTGATTGTTGTTCAATGTTCGGTTGCTATGGAAACCGTGTTAAGTATTCTGTGGTTTTACGGTAATTACACAATAATGTACAATGTATATATTTTTTTCTTCAAACGTCAAATAATGATGACATTACTTATCTAACTTGATCCTGTCAAAGTTTGATGTCTCCGCCGGGAGCAGTTTTTTTCCCATTTCTTTACGGCGGAGGGAAAAATGTTGTCATGGCAACAACATGAAATATGTCACAAAGCAACAATACAAATGTCATTAACAACAATTATACATCATTTTTATTTATAGTCATATTAAAAGTACAATTAGTTAATAAGTCATTTTCATAATTGAAACCGTGCAAAAATGTTCCCGACTCTTGATACGCATTGGTAATTGTTAATGATACTGATGGTCGAGAACAACTTTCAGCAATCATTCCCGATGTGGGCGGCTTGCGAACAACAATAAGCTGTCTTTAATAATTGCAAACAACTGACAAACAACTGTAACCAGGGAGACGCAAATCCCACCGACGACGACTTAATTATTTTAATTTCTAACATCTAGAGTTGTCATAGTTAATTTCGAGTAAAAATAGCGTATGAATTGTACTATTTATGGTTGAAAATTGCTACGTTTGAAGAAAAAAATAGTATACTTTATTTGGTAAAGAAGCGACTTTTCTTGACTTGCCCTCTATTACGCGCCTCACTTCGTTCGGCGCGTAATATCGGGCGCGTCATGAAAAGTCATGCTTCTCCGCCTCATAAAGAAATATACTATTGTAGTAGGTATATAAAATACTACAGAGGCATCGAGAAAAGTCGTAATTACAGTAGGTTATGGATTTATATATATATTACAGGATCCAATTTGTAAATAGAATACATCTTGGAGACGGCTATCGCCGTATTTCCGTCCTCCTCCGCCAATCCTCTCGGTCCAAGGCATGCTCATCCTCCAAACCTCTCGATTCCATTGCTCTTCTAATACCTTCATTCCATGAGCGTCGAGGTCTATCTCTTTTTCTTCTACCAGGGGGCTTCCAGAGGGGTTATGGATTTACATATAAATAATGCTTGTTGTAAAAGATATTTCACAGATCATAAATGTCGGGATATAATTACCATTGTCGATAAAAACGTTATTAGATTATAAATATGTCTATCTGCTCATGGATCTAAAATTCCAAACCACCTCATTTTATTGTACTTCTTCTTTTTCACGTTCCGCTTTTAGGGAAATTAGAAATCATTTTGGCAATTATAATTTTGTCGTTACTCGCCTGAATAGTTCAATTGACGACCCTAGAAGTAAAGGGGTATAAGTGACATTTTTGTAAATATCGAGAAAAGTGCATCGCTGAACTAGAAATCTTGGAGCCAGTGATAGATGATTTACCGGTTAATGCATTTCCACCACCAGAGCAGACTAGAAAAAAAAAGGATTCGAAAGCCAGATAAGTGAAAAAAATAGGGCTAAATAGTAAGAAATTCAAGTAAACCTCACATGAACAAAAACCACTATTTTAATGAAGTTAAACAGTTACGAGAACTTAAAAATCATCATAGAGACTAAGCCAATAAATAGAAAAAAACTAAATGCAGTTACCAACAAAGAGGTGTCATGTGTTTATAATATGGAAAGTTTTAGAGTATGTAAACAGTTTATAATGAGAAGTTTTGATATCTCCACAAACGTTTAAAAAATGTAGTTGAAAGCAAAAAAAGTTTCTTCAGGCGTGTCATGAATAGACAAAAGAGGAAAGAAATTACCCCCAAACAAAATTTCTGAAATGGCAATTAAAATCATAAAAGAGCATACTAATGCAACAAGTTTTCTAGGTACACAAGCCACTACACTAGAAATAAGACTCCAAAAAAGTGGTATCTTTCTCAGTAGTGTAATTTGAAAAGAATGTACAAACTTTATTGTGATTTCTGTAAGGAGGAAAAACAGGAAAAACTTGTAAGTAAAAGCTTTTAAAGGAATATTTTTAACACTTAGTTCAACCTAAGTTTCAAAAGGTCAAGTACAGACATCTGTGATAAATGTGAAAAATTTCAGATAGAAATAAATCATGGTTCGGCAGAAGAAAACGCTTTAGCTCAGACCAAAAAATCTGTCACTTGCCTAAGGCGGTAAGAACAGCAAAAGATGAGTGTCCTGATCTAAAGGATGCTAACAAAGTTGCGATCATCTTCGACTTTTAAAAAACTATGCAAGCTCCTGTGTGTCAAGTTCTAAAGCATATTAAGGCAACTATGGACGTATAACTTAGGGCTCCATAACCTACACACAGAAACACCATATTTCTGTATGTTTTTTAACTTTTGCATGGTTTATTTTAGATGCTATTTGTGTTCTCTCATCTTTATACATAGATATTGTTATTTCAAATGTTATAACCTTAAAATTATACAACAAAAGAAATACAATTTTTTAATCAAAATTATTTTCAGTTGAAAATGTTCATTTAATTACTCCTGCAATATAGTAAAATTTTTTTATGTGACATGAATACCAGGCATCACGTGGATATCAGGACATATTCTTGTCTCGTCTAATATATATTAGAAGCCTTCCCCCATCTGCGAAATACATAACTGAACTTAGCCCCAAGTTCAGAAACATTATCAGAAACACTAATATTCAAACAGTAGATCATCGCTTTTTTTTATAAGTGGCCATTGTTATAATGAGTGTGACTAAGACTGTGGTTTAATAGAGTTAAAAAAGAAAAGAACATTTATTTACCTTACTATCGGATGGAGCTGATAACTTCTACAAGTTAGAAGTTCTACAAGAAAGTTCTTTAAAGTACAGATGAAAAATAACGGACTTTCAAACACTTACACCATACTTCAAGAAGAGCGTAAGTGAAGTACAGAGCATACAATAGTTATATTTTCAACAGGACAAACTTTAAACCATGTTTAACAATAAAACAGCTAGAGGTATCAGTGTTTAGAGAGCTATCTATGAAACCCTTTCGAGCTGGTATAAACTTTGCCCTTCTGCCAGATCTCTTTCCAATACCAATTTACAAAAGGCTTTTCATTAAGCAAGCTAAATATGCAGCTCTTCAATAGTTACTCAACTACGTACCTCCAATTTACCATGATTTTTTGATAAATCGGCGACTTGGTGGTCAACAAGGACTCTGATGTCGATGAATCAAAAGTTAATTATGTATTAGTGTTGTGGTTAAGAATACATTTGTACAAAAACTGTGTGATCTTTTTACATTTTTTACCTTTATGTTGCTTTTCTTAGAAGTAAAAGGGTACAAGTGCTGCTGAGCAACATAAAAATAGCTCCAAAATGAGTAAAGTCAATAAAATTATGATTTTTTGCCACCAATAATAATAATAATGCCTACAGTTAATAAACTGGAGAAGAAAAATTGGTATTAAAGAATTATGACAATTATAGTGAAAGCTCAACTTTGAACGGCATTTACTCAAAATTTACTTTTTGTCAATTATACCCCTTTACTTTTAGGTTTCTCGATTGAACTGCATCCAAACCATTCACGGAGACTGCGTAGCCACGAAACTTTACGTCTTCCTACATTTCTTCTGCGTTTGATTTGGCCCTGCATTATATCCCTTAGAAAGGGTGCTGAGAGAGAACTAGTAAATATTGTAAAAAACAGGAAAACGAGTTGTCTAGGATATATTTACAGAGAAGAAAAATACAACTTCCTACGACTTATAATGGAAGGGAAAATAGAAGGAAGTGAGGTCCAGGAAGAAGAAAATGCTCCTGGTTGAAGAATGTAAGAGACTGGATAGGTATGAAAACACATTCGATACTAAGAACAGCTCAAGATAGAGAGCAATTTGCTGTAGTTATAGCCAACCTTCAGTAATGGAGAAGGCACCTTAAGAAGAAGAAGAAGATTATATCCCTGTCATCACAGTTAGCGCTGTATTATTTAGAGAAGATTTAGGACGTTAGGAGATGAACTGTTTCGACAATTAGCTGCCTAATGTCCGGTTAATTTACATTATCGTATATCGTTTTCGGCTATGAATATTTGGTACCATGTTTGCTCGAACTCGATAAAAAAATATTCAGGTAGTGCAACAATTCCTGGCAAAGTTGATATGAAAATTTATTTTCGGAAACTGAGTGTGTAACTGAAAGTAGGATTAGGTACTCCTATGCATAAGTGTGATATTTCTGAAACAGTCTTTATTAATTAGTCTTGGAAGGTATGCTTGAATATACATTATACATAATTAAGAGGTCTGATGGGGTTATTAATCTTTTTGATTCTAGAATATTTCCATTTACGTATAGTTGTTTAGGATATGAATATATCTAGTGGATCCTTGGACGATGAATGTATGCATATTCTACCCTCTGATATACGGGATGCGAAGATTATATTTTTCAGATCTACCTGAAGAACTCAATCATAAAGTGTACAATCTTCTAAAGTATTAAACAAAGTAGCTTGCTTTGTTTGGAATTAAAATACTTCGTTGTTGACTTAATGCTGTTGAATATGATAATACGTTTTGTGGTGGTTGACTGAAGTTGACATAGTTTAGAAAAAACAGATATAAAAATATTTACTCCAGTTATTGGGGCTTAAAATATGGTAATACCTCCGAATTTTTTATAACTGCATCGATTTCTTTGAAAATTTCAAATTAAGCTTACCTTACCCTCCACTTCAAAAGCTATATACGCTCTAGGTACGCTT